TAAAGTTTAATGAACGTACAGTATTGGTGTATGTTTAATAGAAAAAGTTGTTTGATAAATTATCTAGTAAATTTAGTTGAAATACCAAACGGTTTTTAAATATGTTACATCTGCATTGTTTATAAAATTTTGAATACACGCTATGCTTGGTATTATATATGGCCAAGTCAAAACGTGCTGCTACTGTTCTGACATATTAAAATCGAATCTATAAGGTACCTGCTTTTCTCCGAATGTGTCGTAGTGCTGCCTTTATTGGCGGTTTTTGAGAAATCGCGCTTTGAAACACGATATTTTTTTTAAAATTCCGTGAAAAATCCACAAGAGGGCGTAAAATCATTTTTTGTTATTTTAGGATTTGCCCACTTATTCCAAGTTTAATGAACGTACAGTTTTGATGTATGGCCAAGAGAGGTAAGTATTTGATGAATTATCCAGTAGATTTAGTTTAAATAGCAAACCGTTTTTAAATATGTTACATCTACATCGTTATTAAAATTGAAAATTATACGCTATGTTTGGTATTATAAATGGCCATGTCAAAACGTGCTGCTACTGTTCTGGCATATTAAAATCGAATCTATTGGGTACCTGCTTTTCTCCGAATGTGTTGTAGTGCTGCCTTTATTGGCGGTTTTCGAGAAATCGCTATTTCAAATACGATAATTTTTTGAAATTTTGAAATAATCCACAAGAGGACGTAAAATGCTTTTTGGTATTTTATACTTTTCGCAACTTATTCCAAGTTTAATGAACGTACAGTATATATGTATGTCCAGGAGAAAAAGATGTTCCATTAGATATCTAGTAAATTTAGTTGAAATACCAAACGGTTTTTAAATATGTTACATCTGCATTGTTTATAAAATTTTGAATACACGCTATGCTTGGTATTATATATGGCCAAGTCAAAACGTGCTGCTACTATTCTGACATAATAAAATTAAATTTATAAAGTATCTGCTTTTCTCCGAATGTGTCGTAGTGCTGCCTTTATTGGCGGTTTTTGAGAAATCGCCCTTTCAAAAACGATATTTTTTTAAAAATTCCGGAAAAAATCCACAAGAGGGCGTAAAAGCATTTTTTGTAATTTTAAGATTTGCCTACTTATTCCAAGTTTAATGAACGTACAGTTTTGATTTATGACCAAGAGAAAAAAGTATTTGATGAATTATCTAGTAAATTCAGTTGAAATACCAAACCGTTTTTAAATATGTTATATCTACTTAGTTAATAAAATTGAAAGTTATACGCTATTTTTGGTATTATATATGGCCAAGTTGAAACGTGCTGCTACTGTTCTGACATATTAAAATCAAATCTATAAGGTATCTGCTTTTCTCCAAATGTGTCGTTGTGCTGCCTTTATTGGCGGTTTTCGAGTAATCGCTATTTCAAATACGATAATTTTTTGAAATTTAAAAAAAAAAAATCCACAAGAGGACGTAAAATGTTTTTTTGGTATTTTATACTTTTCGCAACTTATTCCAAGTTTAATGAACGAATAGTATATATGTATTGTCAAGAGAAAAAGATGTTTCATAAGATATCTAGTAAATTTAGTTGAAATACAAAACCCCTTCTAAATATGTTACGTCTGCATTGTTTATAACATTTTGAATACACGCTACGTTTGGTATTATATATGGCCAAGTCAAAACGTGCTGCTACCTTTCTGACATATTAAAATCGAATCTATAAGGAATCTGCTTTTCTCCGAATGTGTCGTAGTGCTGCCTTTATTGGCGGTTATTGAGAAATCTCCCTTTCAAAAACAATATTTTTTCAAATTTCCGAAAAAATCAACAAGAGGGCGTAAAATGATTTTATATCATTTCATACTTTCCTCAACTCATTCCAAGTTTAATGGACGTACAATATATATGTATGTCCAAAAGAAAAAGATGTTTGATAATTTATCTAGTAAATTTAGTTGAAATACCAAACGTTTTTTGAATATGTTACGTCTGCATTGTTTATAACTTTTTGAATACACGCTATGTTTGGTATTATATATGGCCAAGTCAAAAAAGCTGCTACTGTTCTGACATAATGAAATCAAATCTATAAGGTATCTGCTTTTCTCCGAATGTGTCGTAGTGCTGCCTTTATTGGCGATTTTTGAGAAATCGCCCTTTCAAAAACAATATTTTTTTGAAATTCCGAAAAAATCAACAAGAGGGCGTAAAATGATTTTATATCATTTCATACTTTCCTCAACTCATTCCAAGTTTAATGGACGTACAATATATATGTATGTCCAAAAGAAAAAGATGTTTGATAATTTATCTAGTAAATTTAGTTGAAATACCAAACGTTTTTTGAATATGTTACGTCTGCATTGTTTATAACTTTTTGAATACACGCTATGTTTGGTATTATATATGGCCAAGTCAACACATGCTGCTACTGTTCTGACATAATGAAATCAAATCTATAAGGTATCTGCTTTTCTCCGAATGTGTCGTAGTGCTGCCTTTATTGGCGATTTTTGAGAAATCGCCCTTTCAAAAACGATATTATTTTGAAATTCCGAAAAAATCCACAAGAGGACGTAAAATGATTTTTTGTTATTTCATACTTTCCGCAACTCATTCTAAGTTTCATGCACTAACAGTATATATGTATGACCAAAAGAAAAAGATGTTTGATAAATTATCTAGTAAATTAGTTGAAATACCAAACGGTTTTTAAATATGTTACATCTGCATTGTTTATAGAAGTCTGAATACACGCTATGTTTGGTATTATATATGGCTAAGTCAAAACGTGCTGCTACTGTCCTGATATAATGAAATCCAATCTATAAGGTATCTGATTTGTTCCGAATGTGTCGTAGTGCTGCCTTTATTGGCGGTTTTTGAGAAATCGCTGTTTCAAAACGGATAATTTTTCGAAAATTCGAAAATAATCAACAAGAGGGCGTAAAATGATTTTTTCGGTATTTCCTACTTTCCGCAACTCATTCCAAGTTTAATGGACGTACAGTATGTATGTATGCCAAAAGAAAATGATGTTTGATAAATTATCTAGTAAATTTAGTTGAAATACCAAACGGTTTTTAAATATGTTACGTCTGCATTGTTTATAACATTTTGAATACACACTATGTTTAGTATCATATATGACCAAGTCAAAACGTGCTGCTACTGTTCTGACATAATGGAATCAAATCTATAAGGTATCTGCTTTTCTCCGAATGTGTCGTAGTGCTGCCTTTATTGGAGGTTTTTGAGAAATCGCCCTTTCAAAAACGATAATTTTTCGAAATTCCGAAAAGGATCCACTAGAGGGCGTCAAATCATTTTTTGGCATTTTAAGATTTGCACACTAATTCCAAGGTTAATGAACGTATAGTTTTGTTGTATAACCAAGAGAGGAAAGTATTTGATGAATTTTCCAGTAAATTTAGTTGAAATACCAAACCGTTTTTAAATATGTCACATCTACATAGTTAATAAAATTGAAAATATACGCTATGTTTGGAATTATATATGGCCAAATCAAAACGTGCTGCTACTGTTCTGACATATTAAAATCGAATCTATAAAGTATCTGCTTTTCTCCGAATGTGTCGTAATGCTGCCTTTATTGGCGGTTTTCGAGAAATCGCTATTTCAATAGCGATAATTTTTTGAAATTTTGAAAATAATCCACAAATAGACGTAAAATGCTTTTTGGTATTTTATACTTTGCGCAACTTATTCCAAGTTTAATGAACGTACAGTATATATGTATGTTCAAGAAAAGAAGATGTTTGATAATTTATCTAGTAAATTTAGTTGAAATACCAAACGTTTTTTGAATATGTTACATCTGCATTGTTTATAACTTTTTGAATACACGCTATGTTTGGTATTATATATGGCCAATTCAAATCACGCTGCTACTGTTCTGACATAATGAAATCAAATCTATAAGGTATCTGCTTTTCTCCGAATGTGTCGTAGTGCTGCTTTTATTGGCGGTTTTTGAGAAATCGCCCTTTCAAAAACGATATTTTTTTGAAATTCCGAAAAAAATCCACAAGAGGGCGTAAAATCATTTTTCTGTTATTTTTAGACTTGCCACTTATTCCAAGTTTAATGAACGTACAGTTGTGATATATGGCCAAGAGAGTAAAGTATTTGATGAATTATCCAGTAAATTTAGTTGAAATACCAAACCGTTTTTAAATATGTTACATCTACATAGTTAATAAAATTGAAAATTATATGCTATGTTTGGTATCATGTATTGCCAAGTTAAAACTTGCTGCTACTGTTCTGACATATTAAAATCGAATATATAGGGTATCTGCTTTTCTTCGAATGTGTCGTAGTGCTGCCTTTATTGGCGGTTTTTGAGAAATCGCCCTTTCAAAAACGATAATTTTGTGAAATTTATCAAAGAATCCACAAGAGGACGTAAATTTTTTTTCGTTATTTCAGACTTTCCTCAACCCATTCTAAGTTTAATGAAGTGCATTATTGTTGTGTGACAAGGAGTAAAATATCTTCTTTGATGAACTATCCAGTAAATTTAGTTGAAATACAAAATCAGTTTTAAATTTGTTGTATATACATTGTTTTAAAAATTGAAGAATATACGCTATGTTTAGTATTATATATGGTCAAGTCAAAACGTGCTGAGACTGTTTCTGACATATTGAAATCGTATCTTGAGGTTTCTACTTTTCACCAATGGTGTTGCAATGCTGCCTTTATTGGAGGTTTTCATGAAACGACCATGTTACACGACGAAAATTCAGTCATTTTTAAACATCTCTCAAAGAATTATAAAAAAATTTTGTGCACTGTAACAGTCGCTTTAGCTTGTTTACTATATATTAACAATACGAGGAGTGTAGTTAATGATTGTTTTGCTTTAACTACTATTGTGAAACTAATCAAAATATACACTTTCTTTTAAAAATCATTGGGAACATTTAATTTTACGCGTGGGTATTTTCTGCGATTCTGTCAGTCACAATTTCGTGTTTTGCTGCTAGCTTCACAGAGGTTGCACTGTCTGTTGTCTGACATCCGTTGACTGTTGTAGTCACTTTGACTGTACCGTACTTCTGACGTACTACTGTACTAGCTCTAATTTTAACTTCGATACAACTAGAAGGGCTGTTCACAAATTCATAGGATTTACCGGTACATACAGAGGCGACCATATTTAGTTTTTACCAGTGCTGCAGTGAGTGAGACAAGAATAAATTATCTGTCCACGATCAGATATGGAAGAAGCATTTGCCGGACCTAGGCCACGTCTGAATGCATCATTGCTACCAAAATACACAGAAAAATATGTCACTGTAGTTGGGACTGTCGATGCTGGAAAGGTACCGTAACTACCGGTACAGTCTGACAGTACCTTTGTGTACCGGTATTTCTGTATATCAATACCGGTACTGATGATATAATTAATGTAATTCAGTATTTTTATTCAAATAGGCCTACTGAAATACCAAGATATGTTTTTAGTTGTATAATTTGAGAATTTCACACTGGATGGATGTAGAAATGTTGACTGAATCCTCTAGAATTACCGTAAAGAAATTCTGGATTTTCATTTATTTCTCTAATTCATGAAATACAGAAGTAGGCTTAAATCTGTAAAGTGATGCACTCAACAAATACTGTAAAAACTAAAATCAGACAATATCAATACCACAGCATGTAAACACATTTCCACAATTTTAACCTAATTTTATAGCTGCATGTATTCACTGGTTTCTGGGTTTTGATTAGGGTGTTGTTACTCTGACATAGCCTACTAGTAATTTTCATTGGTTCCTAACACTGTAACAGTCTGATCTAGTATATTACCGTGCTGAAATAGCAGACCTCCAGATAGCATGGTTTGAAGTCCTAAACTTCTGCTCCGCAATTTTTGAATTATTCTTTGCCAATGGCATAGCAAGATTATCAAAACCCAGAAACCTTTGTTTTTTTTTGTAATTCCTTATTCTGCTATTGGGTATCATCCGTTACAAACAACCACTATTATAAAATTTTCTGATTTCTGGATATAATACAATTTAGCAATTAACTCTTAATTATTGGGCTAAATAGTTTGTATTATAAATACTGTCGAGTTCAATGGTCGAAACGATGTAAAATATGAATACATTTACTCTTATGTGGTTTATTTATTTCAGATATCCCCAGATGGAAATTCATTTGTATTGAAAGATGGTGCAGGAGAAAATATTCAAGTTGTCTTAGATTCACCGGTAAGAAGTATTGACCAATCATATCACTGGTTTTCCTTTTCACACACTTTGAAATCAAGAACTACTTTATGCACCCCCATCTAGAAGTCAGGGAAATAATATTGTGATTTGTGATCATATGAAAATAGCAAAACAATAATATTCCCCTTTTTCAATATTTGTGACACTAAAATGCTGTATCACTAAAATTAGATTTAGATATATTTGCAAAACATAATATTTTGATTAAGGTAAAGCATAAGTATTTATAGTGTATCAGTTAAAGTGTTTAGGCTCAGTGACTTCTTTTGAGGTTACTCCAATAATGATATCCGTTTATAAGCTGTTTTTTTTAAGCAAACTCAACAATTAAAAATTTTGGCACATCTGGTTAATATTATGTATGTTACTTGTTTTTTGAGATATGTCCCAAAGATAAAACTAATCGAGCATTTTACACAGAGTTCTTTACTAACTAATTGTAGATTTAATTAACGCTAATTGTCGAAAATCAACGATTAGTTTCATCTATTTTATTTACAATTACTTGAAATTCAGTTTCACAAATGTATCTATTCTATGTTTTTAAAATTGCATTTTCAATTCCAAAATTTTGGCAAAACTAACTGACAAGTCATTATCGATATTCTCTTACTATTTCACAGCTGGCTGATATTATTGAAGGTGTCGTTGAAGTCACTGGAAAAGTTGACAGCAAATGTAACGTACATGGGGTGATGTATCGCGTGTTTGACTCTGAAGGAAAATTTAGTAAGTTGATATTCAGAGAGTACCAACATGTTCTAATGTTGTTTCGGAGCCTAAAATTTGAAATAATTATTTTTGCCAAAATAAAATCTTGACGAGCATAAACATATAAAAATAGTATACGATTTGTCCAAAACCAATTTGTCCAATTTATTACATTGTTGTAATTGTTCCAGATTGTTACCCACACAAGAACTTGGCCCCAAAAAAATCTTGATATCCAGATTGGGGTGCTATGTGAAAATATTTTTTGAAACGTTTCGAACACTAATTTAAAAAATGGGTGGGCGAACTTCTGAATCAAAAATATCATTTTCTGTTTTTTTATAGCATAATCCTATAGCTTCAATCAACTGTTTTCTTACAGACATGGAACTCTACAACACTTGTGTGAAACTAATTCATGATTTCCCACAGTACTATGGGCAGAAAGCATCATGAAAGCCTATGTTTATTAACATTTCGTCAGTGTCAAAGGACGTCTCCATTCGATGTTATTTACAACCGGCTGCAATTGTATCCACTTAATGTTGAAATTGATCGCATTTTCTTCATTATTTCTTTCAGTTATAGGGTCATTTTCTATCCTATTTTTTTTATTTTAGCATTTGTTGCATGTGTTTTTTTTGTATATGAAGTTCTTTCTGATTTAAGGATTAAAAGAAACGTGTCATGCCTGAAACTTTGTTTCATGTAGTCACGTTAATAACAGATTTGCGTAAGTCGTTTTAATCATAGATAACTTAGCGTGTATGAAGATTCGGCGTGTATGAAGTAAAACTCCCCATCTTTTGTAGTGAATCCTCCAGAGGAGACCGCCTCGCTTAAAATATATAGGATATGTCGGGCGTGTTTTTGTTGCTCTGTATATTATCTATTCAATCTGTCCCTTCTTGCTGGAAAAATAAAGTTCTGCACGTGCGCCATCAAACTATCGCCCCTGTTGTGTGCTTTGTGTCGCACGGAATTTTCTGAGAGTTCACAGTCACGTATTCGTGAAGGTACTCCCGAAGTATGTGAACCAAGATGGCGGACACCGGAAAGTAGTATGTGTGCCAGGTTAGGGTCAGGTCATAATTTCTTTCCCTTATTTCAGTTCTATTTTGAGTGCGGAGACTAGCTACGTAAGTCCTGTAGCATTTGTACCGGAAATTAGGGCAGGAGTCGGCAACCTACGGCCGAGTAATGTAATACGGCCCGCGACGCTTTACTGAATTATAGTAACAAGACATCTGTTTTGACGATTATATTTGATGACGATTTTATATTATATTTAAAAAGTTGATGCTAAGTGCAAGGGTTCAATGGCGCCGCTAATATTCAAAAGGAATTTTTTGAGATGCAATTCAATCGAGAGGTGTATCACTGCTCGATTTTTATTATAAAAATTATCATCCGATCGGTTTTCAACTTTCTAAAAATATGTGCGGCCGGCCAATGACTTGCAACCCCTAATTTTGGCCCGCAAGCGACAACAGGTTGCCGACCCCTGAATTAGGGCCTAACCTGGTACACGTACTATGTTCTGGTGTCCGCCATTCGGGAGTACCGTTTATTTGCCTTAAAATGTAACAAATAGTACTCCTGTACAATACATATAGTCCGGCAGATAAGGGGACCTTTTTGGCCCAAGTTTGATTTCAGACATAAAGTTTTTTTTATCTGTGATTATTCATCTTGGGGTCATTGCCCATCATTTCTACATGGGTGTGGAGTTTGCAGCCTTGAGCAATTTTTCTTACGGCTCGATATTTGTAACAGTGTTTTTCGTCAAACCTGTGCATCATAATGACGCACAACCTGAACCATAACCTGTTGCAATACTATGTTCAGGTTGAGCGCAATCTTGGTGCACAAACTACGCAAGCGCCAAATTTACTAGGAAATAAAATCAATAACTTTTAGGTATTTGTTGAGCCCAGCTTTGGGTCGCGACCCATATACAGTATATGAAAATACTGTCGAAACATACGCGTAAAATAAAGAGTACTATTTCAAAATACTCGTTTTTGTTGTAATTAACAATACAAGCCTGGTAATGCAGTCGCCAGTGGTTCAAGTGGATATACACCCGGTGGAGAACAGTCAATTGTTTGTTAGCGAGAATTGTTATGCAGCGGGATGATCACGACGACGCAGTGAAAGATAATGATATCACAAGAACAAGAATGAGAAAATTGCTACATTTTATAGTATATCCCTGGGAAAGAATGTAGTTCATTCTTATGTTCCATGCCAATGCTTTTCAAACTACCAAAGACTCTCAACACTTTTACTTCTTCTCTTCTATAAAAAAACATTATATTATTATGTATATATATGTTATTATATATTCGCATTTCCATCTGTTTGTTCGTGCTCCCAGATAACCGATCAGCGGCCTCCAAGGAGGACGGGGTCCTCTATTAAGAAACCCTGTCATAAGCTAAAAAAGGCAACCATGCTTCTCTTGCCTGTTGTCATGCTGTCCCTGGAATTCAGCTACAACAAAAATTTCATGAAAACGGATTTTTAAATTTTATGACTTTATTAATATTCTCAACAATGAATGATATACGGGTGGTAAAATGCCAAGTTATTCCAACAACATGATCATGTTTTTGCAATTTACAACCAATATTTTGTATGTAACTTTGTTTGACAGAGCCCCAAGAGCCCTAACTACAAATATCAAAAATGTGAAGCCAAAAAAGTCACACTACAACATTGTCAAATGTGCTGTATTTACGATAGATAACAGGTTTACCAAAAAGAATTGAAAAATGAAAATGAAAAATGGTAAATTAAAGATCAATTCAGCAATATCTACTTGGTGATATTGCATCTGTTGATGATTTTATGTGTTTGTTTCGGAAGTTTAATAACAGAATTAATTGTGGTTGTTGGGGATGTTTTAAAAAAGGTTGCATGGAAAAAAGGTTTCACAAAATGTCAAGGTTTGATAGTAGTAGAGAAGTAGAAAAATACTCCCATGTTTTTTTTTCTCATTTGATAACCACGCCACAGAACTTCCCCGATAAGTATACGCAGCAATTGCGAGAAGCAGAAATGCCAAGATGGGATTTCATCGCATTGTAAACCAATATTAGCAATTCCGATATATATTCGCGCATTCCCATCTGAACAGCGTGGAAAAGATTATACCCATCTACACAATTTAAGAACTATGTCAGATGAGCGTCATATTATCGAATATCAGTAAAGGAATATTGCAATGGGAAAAGACATATGAGGCGGAACTTTCAGTAGTATGCAATCAAATAATCTTATTGTAGAATATAACTTTAAAAACATTTCGTCACGCCAACTGCAGTCCGAAACTTTTTTTCTCAGGCTGAGCGCAGATACCAATTGGCACTTATGTAAACTGGTAAGACTGTAAGAGGATGGATCACGCGATGGATCAGATACTAAGAGTATCCATCCCCCAGCTGTCATTTGAGTGGGTACTGCTGTTTTTATTGCAGATGTTACTGATCTTTTTGTATTAAAGATTTACTGGCATCACCGATTTAAGGATGTTGGAAACCAACACGCAATATTACAAAACTTACTTTCAACACGCGGTTTGAATGAATGAAAAAGCTGAAACTAATATTCTTTAGAACAGCATACAAATTCTATGGAATCATACACAAAAACTCGTCAAAAACCTATAGCTCAATAATCAAGTGGAATTTGATGCATGTGCGCAAAAATGTGCGCGTTACTACGTACAACCGAAGCACGCAGGAAAATGTGTGTGATGTACTAGTATTCAAAACGTTTGACTCAACTATGTTGGCATAACAGGTGCACATCTCGGTTTCGCATACGCATACCTTCTATCTCCACAAGAATATATTAATTTTGCCAAAATCAATGTAGCTCTGAAAGGTTGCGGTTCTCCCAAAAGAAAACACGTTACACATCTTTAGATACCAGTGGATGGTTTTACATGGCCTTGTTGCTTGTTCGGAGTGAAAGACGAGGTCAAATATTCCAATCCAATTCAACTAATAAAATATTTCCCAAGTCCCTAAGCTTAAACTAGGAAAACGAAATGCGCGCGGCAACGCAAATGTAGTTTGAAGAGCGCAATAGAAAGTGGCTAGATACTGTCGATGGATCTTGGCTTGTATTAGCGAAATAAACTACCATTTATTCTACTAAAATTGAATTTCTGACATCGTAAGGAGATTCAATGTTACTATGTATGCAAAACTAAACCATGTAGTTATGAAATAATTGTTTTTAACAAAAGGGCGCTCCTGAAGTATTCGTACCAAGATGGCGCACAACCTGAATATTGTATGCTTACCAGGTGGGGGTTTAGGATGTGCGTCATCTTGGACCGAATACTTTAAATCCACTTAAAAAAAATTGCTCAACATTATATACTCCACACCCACCTGGGTATCATTATATATGTCATATACATTATATCTAAACAATAAAAAATACTTTATGTCCCAAAACAATGTTAAGGCCCGATTCTGCCGGACTAATAGGACAGAAGGTACGGCACGACGACGGTATGTACAATAGTCAGTTTATGACACGTCCATATCCCATGTTCCGATGTGAAAGGATTGAGATTGGGTATAGGTTGCTAATTTTCACAACAATTCTCACGAAACAGGTAAAGATTTGTTCAGGACATAAAGTTGCCAAAAGCGTTGGGTGGGACCACGACACCAATGATTAGATACAAAAAGGGTAAAAAATTAGTAAATTACATATGTAGAGAAAGAGATCCTTTGTTTAAACTTTCGTTGTTAATCATAAATCGCACTAGACAAAAGAAATGAAAACAATAAAGTCTAGCATAGAATGCGGTTCAATTTCTTGAGCGCCATTTTACGGAATTTATTGTCGCCATGTTTCAGCATGATATTGTAATATCTTTATTGAATGATCTGGTTTGCATTATGAACGATCCAACGTGTGAACCATATAAAGTTAATAAACTATAAAATTATGCAGGAAGGAGAGACAACAGATCAGTGGGTGCTCCCGAAGTATGCGAACCAAGTTGGCGGACATCGGAACGTAACATGGGTAACAGGTTAGGGTTAGGCGATAATTTTTCTCCAATTTTCCTTATTTTAGTCCTATTATCAGTTCGAAGACTAGCCAAGAGCCTCCCGTAGTATTTATACCTAAAATTATGGCCTAACCCTAACCTAGTACACATATTACATTCCGATGTCCGCCATCTTGGTTCGCATACTTCGGGAGCCCCATAAGATTTACATATTTATCCCGTTCCCGATTTATATATTTATATTCGTTCATTGTTAACCAATCGAAGATATTTTTTATCTCCAATTCTTTTCTCATCTTCTATGCATCTCTTGTATCTGAAAAATGTCTGAAGAGTAGAATGTCCTTAATGCACGAAGGCTAATAGAGTTCCAATAAATATCTCTTAAGTTTGGATCTGAATCCGGACGTCGTTTTCGAACTTTTGGTACTATTATATAATGTGTTCTATAATTGGGTTAATAAATTTTTCAAGTTATATGAATGGGCATGAGCTTATTAAACGAGTTCTCCCTCGTAGCATTGTAACAAAACCAAGTACAGTACATGAAACTTTCATATATATTGTAAATGATCATGATCCACAGCTTAAACCAGTTGTACCTCAATGTGCCTCTTCATTTTTAAGTAGAAGAGAAGTAAAACTTTGTTTGAGGCTACCCTAGTTGGGAGACACGAAAAACCGCGAGACTCGTAATAGTTTCATGCATAACAGTATGGATAGATCTGTTTTACTATATCAGGGTTAAGGAGGAGTTTCGTAAGGGCAATATGGGCAAATGACATCTGTTATTCCATTCTGATGTTTTGAAACATATCCAAAATTACATGTCATGTTAGCTATTTAAACAATGGTAGTTCTGTGCTAGTACACGTGTTAACATCGATGTGATATCATTTGTATTACTAATAAAAAAATACGTTATTTCTTCAAGCGGGGACAATAATAATATGTTGAATGATGATTTTTATGTATGCTTGACACTGGAACATACACATTGTCGATTATATGCAATGTTAAAGGTACATTTATGATAAAGTATATATATATATATGAAGAATATTCAAGTTTGACTATGAGTTATTTTTACTTTTAATAGTTCACAGCATTTATTATGAATTAAAATATTATACATTAAACATTTGTGAAGCTATCAATTGGATGATATGCTTTTTTGTAGTCAGGAAATCTTGGTATCGGTACTTTTCGTATCTATTGGGACAGTAACAGGTAACGTGAGGAAGGATTGTGTATTGTTTTAATATATAAATCAGGTCTTGTGGTTATGGATTCGATTGCCAATAGCTCTTAGTCATACCCAAACGTCAACTTGTTGCCCTTTCTCCCCGGAGTCATATTACCAGACCTGACATATAGCTACTTGTTAGAAAGGAAACGATCCTTTTGTGAAGATATCGAAAACTACATTCAAGTTTTCCGTGGAATAACACGTACATGTTTCAAGGTGAAATGTATGCATTTGCCGTGAGTTTAATGCTGAATGGGTGCGCGGAATAAGCTGATGCTTAGATCTAGGTTAATGAATATGATCTAACATTTTTATTTTGTGATATCCAATTTTATATTTGCAGGTATAACATGTTGGACATGTGACAATGCCGAAAGTTTGGAAGTGTGTAATAATCAGGGTAAACTGACGCAGTGCAATTCAGCACAGGTTGGTTTGGTAGTAGTACAAATCAAATATCATTCCTTCTGACTGATCTTTGTGTTGAAATATAAAAATGATAAATGTCTAAAAATATTTAAAAAGTTCATTAAGTGACAAGATACACAATAACAAAGGCACCCCAGTCTATAACCAATCCAGCAAAATGAACTGTATGTAGTAAAGAATCCCCCGACAACAAAAAACTAAATACAAATTTCAGGGCCGAAGGACTCATATATATAAATTAAAATTCCGTTCATTGGATTTCAAGTGAACCTTTATATATATTTTAATTTTAGACGAGCTGTGGAATTGAAGTCAGAGGACTAGGATCGACTGAGAGAATGAATATTTACAAGTTTTGCAAACAAGAAACTGCTTGTTTAAATATGTTGGATCAGGTTGGTGATTTTCACATTAGTTATTAAAACCGTCGACATAAACCGTCGAAAACATCAAATGCTTCAACAACTTGTTCGTTGGTGCAGCATAACTTGAAACGGTAGGGAAGTAATACGGCATGCAATCGATAGATATGGGTTGACATTATTCACACCGAAATTTGTCAGTTTTATCGAAAATATACTGTTAATACTACTAAGTTCATTATAAACTTTTATTTTGGCCGAGAAGCTAAATTAAAATATGTGTTTTCGGTTTTTATCATTTGACGTTTGACACACCGCTCAAATATATTGTTATTATACGAGGCGCTGGGTAGTCGCAAAAATCGCTTCTGATATATATACAGAATTCGTTGGTCAGCTGCAGAAGCATTGGGTATAACGTTTCACAAGCAATATTTTGTTGCTTTGCAATTTTGTCCTACAATGGCCGGAGGGATTAAATAATTAACTTCATAGCACCATTAATGTTATATACATTTTCAAATGAACTTCTCCAAAATGGATGGATAAAATAAATAATTAACTTCATAGCACCATTACTGTTATATACATTTTCAAATGAACTTCTCCAAAATGGCCGTCGTGTTGGAAACATTCCAGTTATTGCTTCACAATGCAATATAGTTTTTCTTCAGTATAAGTTATTTTCTATATGAAAGTGGTAATTTAGCGCCAGGCTGATTGATTCAAAGATGAAAAAAGGCCTGTTTTCGAAAAGCATGGATCGACACTGCTTAAACTTTACAAAGCGGTTACGGATCAACTTTTTTAATGTGTACAGCAATGATTATAGTTTTAATGAACAACTATTGAAAAACAGCGGATCATTATTTCAAAAACTTGATTTATCATCTTATTAATGTGATAGTAAATAGCTAACTATTTTTGTTTTGTTAAAGAACTCTGGAACGCTGCCTAACTGTAATCCATTTCCAAACAACGTTTGCCGCTGTTGTTGCCTTCGTGATGGGTGCAATTCAAGGACGCTGGATTGTTTGGGACATGTAGGTGAGTTGCACTAAGTCTATAGCAAGCAGACTTGTTTTAGATTATTTCACTATTCACTTTATTTAGTAGTTATCAGTTGCAGCTTTCAGTGGTTTCAAAATGTTAACGAGGAATTACTAATTATCTACATGCGCCTTTTCAATGATTAATTCATTTTCTTAATATTGCAGTGACACAATGTGATGAGAAACCATCGGTACCAATAAATGGCTACGTAATTTGCAGCGATGCAACAAACATTGGATCAGTTTGTACATTCGGATGCGAAGAAGGATATGTTATAATAGGGCCCACCACAATCACATGCATAAATGTTCAACAGAATGGAGGATCTCCTGTATGGTCGCAGGGGCCACCAATTTGTAAACGTAATATGATAAAATAGCGCAGATAATAGCATCTCAAGATATCTCATATAGCATGGCATCTCATGGCATAGCATGGCATGGCATGGCATCTCAAGATATAAGACATCTCAAGATAAGATGATATATTAGTAATATACAATTTTAGTAGGCCTATCAATAAATATATGCTCAATATTTTTATAATATCATACCTTTGTCAACATATAAACAACTTGACTATCAATGTTTGAAATTGGGTAGGCAATGAAAAAGAACTGCTGGGTGCTTGCATTCAGGTCACAGCCTAATCTTTTTTTAAGATAAACAAAATAAAGTGGAGCAAAAATCCGTTTTATTTTAATCTAAACAAATATAAACAGATCCACAGAAAACGGATTAGAATATTTGTTGTTTTGAGAGCGTAATATTTGCACCGTTTTACATATCGAGAAATCCATCAATCTTGTGATCTTGTTAACTTTTTGTTCCACAATATCGAATAAACTACTGCGAAGTACATTATCGCGATTTCATACACCCCAACGTATATTTGTATCATATATTTCAGAGACTCAATGTGGTACTGTCCCACCATCTCCTGTCAATGGAGAGGTGTTCTGCAATGGTAATATCATTGGTTCAAAATGTGATTTTGTATGTAATAACGAATACTTTCGAGTTGGAAGGAAATCAGTTACATGTATAGACAACGAAGAAGATTCGGACCCAAAATGGAACGGAAAAACTCCAATTTGTTACAGTGAGTTTGTATATTGCTGTTTCCATCCAGGTGTTAAATATTTTAAGTACCAAAGAATACAAAATCCGAGAAAACACAGAAAAAAAAAACTTGAAGTCTGAGCTCACTCGTGTATTTCTCAAAATATTTTGTTAACCCTACATTAGTTGTTCAGCCGAATTCCCATGAGAGGTCAAGGTTCAAATATATTGGCACGAAAGCCGAAACGAAGTAGTAACTAAGTTTCTATAGTACCGGTAGTCTTCCTCATTAAAAACCTCCTGACTTCTCTGCCCACCATATCGCCGAAATGCGATCGCGGAACAGCCATACTGTGCGTAATTTTCAATTTCGAAGAGGTCATCACGCGAAGCACATAACGCACAAAATTCTGTACTGATCTTCAATCAAAATTTAAGGGTGAGCGTTATACCCTAGCAATAAATAGTAGTAACGTAAAATTAAAATTTATACCAATTTTCAACTAAAAAGTAATACAGCTAGATATACAGATTGTTTGTTATACTCGAAAAAATACGGTAAGTGAAAAACGAATGTCATAAAACCCACAGAATTTTTTAGCCCGGTAGCGACAACAACAATCTTTCACCACCGAAAATTTCCAAGCAATTTCCAACCAACAACAAAAAGAAGAAGAAGAATACCAACAACAATTAAAAAAAAAAGATCCATAGGTCCACTTTGTGTGTGGTATCCAATGTCGCAGTACATGACAACAGAGTGTGTAGTGTAATACACTATATGGTTGGAGTGGGATTGATATGGTTATATTTGTCATTAGTTGAGGATCAACTTTTTAGACCAAATTATATGTTTCTGTGATCCGATTGCGGAACACAAATTTAAATGTGAGAAATTAATTTCATACACGATTTTCCGCTCTACGCAAAAAGTATAGATATATATAAAATTTATTACAGAACAAAAATGTGATGCTGTCCTATGGGCTCCAACAAATGGATTTATGAAATGTTCAAATGAAAGATTTGTCGGATCAATTTGTTCATTCCGTTGTGATTATAGATATGATCTTGTTGGGCACAGGAAATCTACTTGCATCATTAACTCATCAATTAAACAAGTACAATGGAGAAATAAGCAACCGAAATGCATCCGTGAGATTCTTTATAATTTTTGGTATATATCCAGGCCGGATAGCGACTGTAAAAACAGCGACTGTTATAATGGCGACTTCATAATAGCGACACTGTCAAAACAGCGACTGTCATAATGGCGACCGCATTTAAACAGCGACTGTTATGATAGCGACTTAACTTTTTGTACAGGAATGACAAAACAAAGTTAAGGTGTGGGGGATGGAAGGTGTGAGTTTGGGGGGGGGGGGTGAAAAAGTGCGCGTACGCGTAAGCCTTGGATTTAATAAAGCAAGTGATGTCGCTGTTTTGACAGTCGCTCACTTGATTACGTCGCCATTATAACGGTCGCTGTTTTGACAGTCGCTATTTCGAACTCGAGTCCTAATTTTTCAATAAAAATGTGGCTACCACCCTTTTCTTTTTATTATCTTATTGGTTGCGACAACATAGATCAAGTTGAATTTATAGTAGGAGTATAGACTTTTAAATCTTGTCTTCAGTTTGGAATCAGAAAAATTAATGTTTCATACATTGTTCAAAAAAAGATATTCTGAAACAAATATCACACAGTGCTATAATAGTAGTCATCTAATTCTAATGAATTGCGTAATTTCTACTTTTACCACTTGAGGGCTTGACTTCAAATAAATAATTTATTCGGTCTAGTGATGGCTTGTGGGCAATCATTTGTATTTTTGAAAATTAAGGAAAACTCTGCATTAGCATGCCAGCTACCCCTGAAAATGGACAGATGTTCTGTTCTGATAAAAGATACTACGGGTCTGTGTGTGCATTCCGATGCGATGAAGGTTATCAGAGAAATGGACCTTCACATACCAAATGCATTTCCAAAAATAAACTCGTTGATGAAGAACCGCAGTGGAACTTAGAAACGCCGGTTTGTAACAGTAAGAAATTGCAATTATTATATCAACATTCAAAAAACTTTCTTGTGCAACTTATTGATTGAAATTGGTAAAATATTGAAAATGTATATTGATTGTCCGCTATAGATAATATAACATTCAGTTGCCAATTGGTATGTCTTTATAGCAAATGGAATTTTCGCCTAAAAGACCGCGAAGTTCAGGTTAGTTTTATATTGAATTGAAATTATCTTTTCATCTTTGTAACAGTAAATACAACTCGATCAAACCCCTTCTAAATTTGCTGTAAATCCGCATTTTTCCTGTTTTTTTTCCAAAGTTGTTGGAAATTTGTGATCAGTTTTCATTTCATTGAGAGTCTATTTTGTTTGATGCCTTTCACTTCCTCTACAGCCTTCTTCGATATTAATAACTATGAATCATTCTGTTGCAGAAGCTGGGTGTCCAGAAATACGTCTTCAGTATGGAATAACAACATGTTCAGATGAAAATCGTATTGGGTCAATATGCAAATTTACATGTACTTCAAAGGAATATGAACGATATCCAAAATCAAGAAAGACAATATCATGTCAAAACAACTCCAATTGGTCAGAAGAGCCGCCTTGCTGTGCTAGTACGTTTCAGTGCCATTTACTTGTTAATTGTAAAATTTATAAATCACTAAATAGACATTTAAAGATCTAAAGATTTGTTTTACGTTTTTTATTTGTGAACTTTTGTTAAGTCACACTAGTTGCCTTCTTTCGTCTTATAAATTAATAATAATAATTGCACTTTTTTCTCTGATTTCTAATATTTGTCAAAAATTATATGACTAAAATGATGCAAAAATTTATTATAAGGAAAGTGCCCACCCTACAACCTAATGGATTTGGTCATACTGCTAGACTCGTCGTCTTCAATTGGTAAAAGGAATTGGAAAAAGATGATAAGTTTTGTTGATACTGTCGTGGAGTAAGTATTCAGATGTCGAAATCTTTATTATTATTCGTGTGTGTCCAACCTTAGTGCAAACTCCAACTTACGTTTTCACAACATCCTGAACAACTGAGAAAAAGCTCAAGATAAATGAGATTTCCAACATTTAGCAATGCGATACCTAATCAGTGGATGGCCGTCTGACCGTCTCTACTATCAAAGCTTTCTTCAAAGGCCCAAAATATTTCCGAGTCATAGAAATGAATTAAATGAAATATATATTAATAAAAATTATTTAAATTGTATGCCCATTTCTTTTCATTCATTCCCTCGGTATATGCGCCTAGCGCATTTTTTCATACCAAAAGACAATTGCTTTTCAGCACCCAGATGTGCTCTGATAGTGTAAGCACCATTCCTACAGATTTGGCAACACCTTTTGCATGCTGCCTGCGTTAGAAACTAATTTTTGAGATATTGTTAAATCAGTAGCATGATCGAGTTTGAGAATTATTCATTCAGTACAAACAGCGATTTTTAAAATTTCGACAAAATTCACAGGAGTTTAAAAATTAAACTGATTTTTCTCCTCATTTTCTCAAAACAGCTCTTCAACCTAGTGTCGCATCGTCAAAAATGAATACTTTCAGTGACACATTACACATGTTGCTCTGTTCGGTATAATATTTTTAAAGCTTTCGGAATAACAGACTTTGTAGCCTAGATGCTCAAGTTTATTACACAGAATCTTGAAGATTTACTGGTTCAACGATTATTCTAATTTTGATTTACCAATTTATATCGTTTGATTGAGTAACTTAAACTGACAAACATGCTTTTCGTTTTAGTTTATTTGTTGTACAAAACGATTCTGTCAACTTCGGAATAATACGTTACAATGCAGAAATAGACGTTAAAACAAAAATTGATCTGAACAAATCACCAAAAAATGCTACAAGATTAAAAGAATTGATAGCAAAGATTCCATACAATGGCAAAGGTAAATCTATAACGTAAGGCATATTTTTTTTTTTTGGCATACCGTCAAATGCCGCAATCCCTACCATACGCCGCTGCAGCATTTAAAACACAGATATTCAGAATACATCTAAACAGCATTGACCATCCGCAAAATTTTAGCTTTTGGTTTCTCACATTACCTTTCGAGATTTAGTTCACTTTCGCACCTTATAAGCTATATATATATATATGTGTGTGTGTGTGTTGTGCCACTTTATTTCCAGTAACCTGAAAGTTTTCATTAAGTCTTTTAATAATAATCTATCGAATTAGCGCGTAAATTCGGATTGCAGTCGAAAAATATACAAGTGACACAACAAAATCCTGTAGGTACACGAACGGGTGAAGCAATGACATATGTGCAAGAAAACATGTTCAGCTACGGAAGAGGAGACAGGCCCAATGCTCGCAATGTTCTTCTAGATATTACCGACGGCAAATCTCAGGATGACATTACAGAGCCTTTGAGAATCTTAAGAAAGAACGGTATCTCGGTAAGAAGTTTTATGGAGTGTATAAATAAACATATTTTGATGTCGAAGATTGAATTTTCGGTACTCCAGAAGTATGCACACCAAGATGTCGCACAACCTGAACCCTAACCTGGTACACAACCTGAGTTCAGGTTGTGCGCCATCTTGGTGCGCATACTTCAGGAGGTCCGAATTTTCAATTAAAAATGTCGGCGATCAGATAGGATAAATAGAATAGTAGGTATTGTATTTACATTTCAATTTTGTTACAATCATCCATTTAATGTGAGATCTATACGGAACGCGGTATTCTGCCACGAAAGTTGAAAATTGATACATGTTGCTGTTGGCAGCGGTCTCTCCTTCAGCGAGCACACAGGATTATAAAGAGTTGGAATGGCTAAAGCTAACCACCTTTTGCTAATATTATAACCGAGAAGTCAGTGTATGTTCTTTTTCAGACTTACGTGATAGCTGTGACATCAGTACTAAGTGCCTTTGATGAAATTTGGTTCAATGGAACCGACAACGAGCATCTCTATACTGTTGGAAGTTTCGCAGATTTGACTCGTGAATACGCAGAAGAAATAAGTTTGAATCTTTGTGGCGATCCATGTGAAGCAACAAACAATTAAAATATTAATGTGGTTTTCACTCTACCAATTTTTGTTGGATTTCTACGCATATTAGGTATTTTTATCAGCGATGCACACGAATTGAATCGCCTATTTCTTATAAACCTGAGATGAAAACGAAACAGGGATGCAGGTAACTCTAACGTCACGACCAAGCTGCCAAAATAGGTTCCTGAATTATTATGGGAGTTGGCATTTGCGCAATTATTGTGTAATTACATAAGATATTTTGTTGAATGTCTAAATAGAACCGTTCAACTAACGAGTATCGGTCGACGATACCAAGCTGCATAGAAATCGGATACATCGTTAATCACATAAGATAATTTTAGTCAGCGCAAATATGTAACATATTTTTTCACATGATTACTGATTTTTAACTTTAGGAATAGTTGAATTTCTCAGACCTGTTTAAACACTGTGTGTTTATTTAGCATGATATCATTGCATAATAGTAGTCATTTTGTAATCCACATCACGTGTCTTTATAATGTTGCAAAGAGCGTTTAGCATTAAAGCACTCTGACACGATAACTGCCTTATTTTTAGCTCTCTCGCAAACAAGGATAAAGTAGATCAAATTTAATTTCAGTAATTGTAAACACTCACCTGCAAAAATTAATAAATTCAAACAACAGTATAGTCGAAACTAGGCTTCATTAAATACAGTGAATGTGCCAAGTTCGTACTATTCATTGAACTTTAAAACTTTAGGTCAGTTAAATAGGTTTATTGAAAAATGACTACACTTTTGACAAATTCTAAAAAAATCATAAATCATACAACTAATAGACTGTCAAATGATGTATAACAGTGTAACGCTTAATTGTGTGAAAGTGTTTCAATCTTAGATATGAATTAGGCCAAAATGTAAAGCAAACAACTCGCGCCTTTAAAAACAGAAATAATATTTACAAACTCCACTGAACGACATAATAGTAAACGAGTGTTGACGCAAATGCAAAGGTGATGAATTCTTGATTAGTAGCAAAAGACTATACCAACTCAATTCTCAATGAGAGAATTACTCAATGAGAAAGTGTATTAGGGTCATAAGATACAAATCCGTGGTGCTATGAACAATTGTAAACCAATAATCGTTTATTCAAGATATATATAGGGACACGAAATATAAAATGGTAAAAATCAGTATATATATATATATAACTCTATTACGGTAGTTAAACGGACCTGCCATAATTGCAGTACTTAAGCGGACGTCGTTCCTGTGTCCGTATCATTGTTTTTGAATACGTGCTTGGAGAGCGCGAGAGCCGTTGACAACTACGGAGAAAAAGAGTCAACACAATCCTCTCGATAAAAGATATAGAATTTTTGTCCGCTTAATTCGTCCACTTAATTCAGACCACCAAATGTTTTAGCCTATTTCGGCACTAAGCCGGACCCCTCTTATATGTCGCTCTGAATGTCTACATAAATGATGTTGCTTTTATTTAAATACGCATTTTAAAGCGTATGACCTCGCTTCAATTTCCGATGGATTCGAACCATTTAGCAATATTTATCACAAAAAATAGCATTTCTTTTTCAATGTTCCGTCTTTCGTGCAAGGGAGATGCACTGTGTTTGGTGTTGGAAATATTCTTCTATATCAAAAAATACTCAAAATGCAACGTGAAGGTAGACAAATCGAAACAAATTGATCCAAACGTGTTATATATTTGAAACTGAGAAATACACAGAGCATATCACAAATGTTCGCCTATTCCAACCCTATGGTGCAACATATAGATTAAACAGATGCTATGTTGTGAGTGTCAAGATATCAATACCAAGTCAAAATTATGGCATTCCAATAATATTGATAAACATTACATAAAATATATCTCAAATGTCAACTTATCCGACCACCTAAGGGTGGCATACAACAATTGAAAAAAAAATTCTTAAATCATATTGAGAAACATCACACAAAATATATCTCAAATGTCCACCTATCCGGCCACCTATGTGTGGCATACAAGAATTGAAATAAAAATTCTGAAATCGTAATGAGAAACATTACACAAAGTATATCTCAAATGTCCACCTATCCGGCCACCTAAGTGTGGCATACAAGAATTAAAATGAAAATTCTGAAATCACATTGAGAAACACTACACAAAGTATATCTCAAATGTCCACCTATCCGGCCACCTAAGTGTGGCATACAAGAATTGAAATGAAAATTCTGAAATCATATTGAGAAACATCACACAAAGTATATCTCAAATGTCCACCTATCCGACCACCTAAGTGTGGCATAAAACAATCACAATGAAAACTCTGAAATCATATTGAGAAACATTACACAAAGTATATCTCAAATGTCCACCTATCCGACCACCTGAGTGGGGCATACAAAAATTGAAATGAAAATTCTGGAATAATATTGAGAAACATTACACAAAATATATATCTCAAATGTCCACCTATCCGGCCACCTAAGTGTGGCATACAAGAATTGAAATGAAAATTCTGAAGTCATATTGAGAAACATTACACAAAGTATATCTCAAATGTCCACCTATCCGGCCACCTAAGTGTGACATACAAGAATTGAAATGAAAATTCTGAAATCATATTGAGAAACATTACACAAAGTATATCTCAAATGTCCACCTATCCGACCACCTAAGTGTGGCATAAAACAATCACAATGAAAACTCTGAAATCACATTGAGAAACATTACACAAAGTATATCTCAAATGTCCACCTATTCGACCACCTAAGTGTGGCATAAAACAATCGCAATGGAAACTCTGAAATCATATTGAGAAACATTACACAAAGTATATCTCAAATGTCCACCTATCCGACCACCTAAGTGGGGTATACAAAAATTGAAATGAAAATTCTGAAATAATATTGAGAAACATTACACAAAATATATATCTCAAATGTCCGCATATCCGACCACCTAAGTGAGGCATACAACTATTGAAACAAAATTCTGGAATCGTATTGAGAAATCTTACACAAAATATATCTCACACACTTAAGTGTGTGAAATTTAACTGAAATACGAAATTTCGAATACTAATCATATTTTGATGTTGTGGAAAATTGCTCAAAATTTATCTCTAATGTTCACCTATCCGATAACTTGAGAGTGACAAATATTATAAAAAAAAATTTTGAAACCGTATTGAAAAACAAAACAGAAAATTAATCGCAAATCGTCATCTACTCAGCTACGTAAGTGTGTCATGTAAATGCAAAATGATATTTTGGAATGGCAATAATATTGAGAAGCATTCAAAAAAAATTTCAACCATTCGACCATTTCAGAAGGTAAAATATATAATTAAAACACGAAATTCTGAATAAAATATCGAGAAACATTATACACAACATATCTCAAATGTTCAATAAAGTGACGTTTTCAGTGGGGCCTATAAATGCGAAACGAAATTTTGCCATGTCAACTAAAATGAGAAACATTACACCAAATATAACTCAAATGTCTACCTATCAGGGCGCCTAATTATAGCAGTGATTGATTATACAGTCAACTATACAAGCGATCAAAATGAAATTATTGAACCTCAATATCAATTTAGAATCTTTGCACAATTTATTTAAAATTTTTGCACCAACTCGGAAAACAAAAACATGATTGTTATTTTGAATTTATAATTAAATAGTAAAAATGTATGCCAAGTATGTATACGAATGTGGATATGCTCACTAGGTTAAGTTGTTGAGGAGAAACAAGATTATGCTCACTGCCGGTTCATCTTTATGAATTATACAGAGATGTCTTACAGCTTTACAATAAACTTCTCGCAAGATATACCAATCCGTGCAATTATTTTTCTTTTCGTCGTTTCTTTTCTGGTTCGCGTTTGTTTAGAATCTTTTTTTTTAATTGATTTACAGTCTTTTTCTTTTCCATATATATATGGTTTTCTTTGAAATCACTTAAATTGCTTATTGAAAGTGATTATGAAGATGATGCGGTATAGTCTGTTGACTTATCTGAAACTTTGGTCAAAAATACATGCATAAGTCACAAAACATCATCACAGTGTTTTAGTCCAATTCAGAATTACGCTACTCTTGATTGATCGAACAAACGAAATGTTTGAAATGGATAACTGCATTATTACTCAAATAAACCAGAGTTTCTAAACGTTGCACTACAATTATTCGTAGATAGCTGCGCTATTTGTGATGGGCTACAAATGATATTATGATTTGGTTTATTACCATTCATTGGTATCAATTTACGATACTGTATTTAATAAAAAAAACTAGCATAGCAAACTCATTTAGTCACCTCCTGGCACAGCTTTCTCCGAATCACTACCCGCATTTCCGTCTGCCAAGTTCTGAAACGTAGGCTATCTCGTTGGAGAGTCACCTACATGTGAACAAAAAATACAGCCCGGTGAATAACTAGATGAAGATGGTAAAATAACACAGGGACATGTGCCAAATCACAAAACAAAATTGCTAGCAATGCAATTCTTCAAAACTGTTTTCCGAAGATGAAATATTCTAATCTAATATGAAGCGGTGTATTAGATATTTTTATTTACACCAAGCTATACAACGTCAACTACTCGATTCTCGTATATCCTTCTGTTTCGACAAAAAATTGAATTCATTGAATTTTCAAAATCTTCGTTTGTATTTTCATCTGGATTTAGAAATCCTTCTGAATTACACACTCTTACAAACGCAAACCCAGTCGTAGCATTATTTTGATGGTCAGATCAGAACTACGACCAGTAAAAGCATAACAGTATCAGTAGTCTATATTTTGATAATCTGGATTACGTGAAAAATCTCAACACCAAAAATATAGTAACCCTAATATTAAAAATCGTTATGACTAATCACCTTATCCGATGAGTGATGATTTCCAGCAGCATTCCTCGGTGACGTTGAAATCCTTGCTTATTATGACTCGACTTCAACTCACTGGGTAACTGATAACACCTAACACAAAAGACTTGGATCGCTACTCCAAACACAACTGTTCTATTTTATCTAAATTTCGGCAATCACGCACTCATGAAGATCCCAATCCCCTCACGGCGCCCAGGTTACTTGCGAACAAAACGGCAAACGTGGTAAAGTTCTCGGCGAACCCGACAGTTTTACTATTGCGACACAAAGCCTCTTTGGTACGGAGTTGTGAATTGAGGTCCTTTTCAGTTTATTGAGCTTATATTGCAAAAAACAGAATGGACGATCTTCATGTTCTGCCTGGTTATTGTATCAAAATTATCAAACCTACTCTCCAAAAATCGTAAAAACATATACCGAAAAATTAAAAGATTTTTGCATAAATAAAATGTCCACTTTATGTACGAAAATTAAACCCGTTGATTATAAACCAGCAGAACTACTGTCCCATTAAAAATGTGCAATTATTTAAAAAATATTGAAAGAACATATTAATTTTGATACTGTTTTATCAGAGAAAAAGAGATTTCAGCAAAATATCGCAAAACGTTTTAATTATGGAACGTGGAATAATTAAGCGGACAGGAAAATGTCTACCCAATTTTTCCGTCTACATAACTGTCGCTTTTTTAGCACGGTATGTCTACTTAACTACCGTATTATATATATATATATATATATATATATATATATATATATATACGTTAATTACCTTTGAATTGTCATAAATAATGATCAACAATTTCTCCCCGGCAGATGTGAAATAAACTAAACAATCATAGCTTTTCTATCAACAAATCAAGCTGATAATTATTCACAGAGGATATATTTTATGGTGCTCCAGAAGTATGCGCACCAAGATATCACACAACCGGAATCCTAACCGGTACACACATACTATGTCCAGGTTGTGCGCCATCTTGGTGCACCATGTAGGTCCATGTAGATCCTTTTCTGACAGCAATGGATATACTTTACGCAACACTCAACTAAAATGATGCATTTTTGCGGTTAAGCGCTCATCAAAATATTACCTGTCCAAAGTCAACGCACTAGGTCACGACAGTAAAATTACGCAAGTAAATAACCTTATCATGCAGCAAAACGTAAGAATTGACCAGGTAAAGTAGAGAGCAGCGAAATAAAGTCAAACTCTAGCAACAGTCAGATATGTCCTGCATATGATCCAGTTTGGTCGCATGGTGAATTAAATTATTAAATGATGGAGTAGCTGCCTCCATAGCACGTGTCACATATTCGATTTCACTTATAACTATACTTCAATGTAACCATATTGCTGAAAACATAAATTGTCGTGCTGTGTTTTCCCACGTGGCCATATTTTTGAGTTCTTAGTAATCTTCGAGTTAATAGAAATCAAATATGACATTTCACGGAATGATATTAAGTACAAAATGGATACAATGTTACGATTTGAAATTAGATCTTTGCAAAGTTGACCCACAGTTCATCTGGATGGTTTTCCCCGTGTTGTACAAATATTAACCGCGACAGACAGCAAATATACGCAGTTCTATTCTCAATACCTAGTTTGAAACTATAGTTTCATCATATTATTTTGTATGCGAAGAAATTAAATACACACTCTGCGAAACTTTATATGTTTCTTTATTCTGTTTTTCAATGGAATTCACTTCCTTTTCAAAACTAAAACGTAGGGTCAACAGAATTTCAGTCTATTCTCAGCAGGGATCGCGTAGCTCAAGTAAGCGAGTTTGTTTGGATGGATGAAGAGCAGTCTCAAGTGACACGATTATAACTGAAGTGGTGCACAGTGAAAATCCCAGTGCGATATTCTATAAAGTAAGACCGAGTTGTTTTACTGAGGGTCACAAAGATTATATGCCAGGTGATTTGAATTCATATTAACATCGTATCCGGAATATGCTTGATATGTAAGATTTGCCGAACTGATTTGTCGTTGATATTTGTCAAACTACATTGAATATGGAGCCGATTTATCAACTTCTTTTTTGTTATATGCGTAAATATCGCGGTACCAATGTAAGATTGATAAATTGCACTTGAACAATGCGTCTTCATTCTCTTATACAACAGTCGAGGTGCATCGAATTTCCACCAAATTGTTGTTGGCGAACATTTCGAATATTACAAATTTTAAACTTCTAAGCGTAAACTTCTGAAGTGTATTTTCCAAACACTAATTTTTACTAATCTATACACCCTAACTATACCGTTACTTGCCACTTGCTTTTGAAAGAACATTTCTCCCTTTTGGGCCACAACTCATTGGGCAACAAATTCTCATTAACATAAGCAATTGTGTGAACGACAGGCAGTAGTTTGTAAGGGGATCGACTCAATTTTAAGTGAACTTGAATATATAAATTACTGAAAGAGAAAACGATCAAAATCTGACATCCCGCACAGAAAAATTATTCTATTATTGTGTTACGACTTACGTAGTATAGTTGGACCGAATGAGCATTGCATTGACGTTGTCTAATGCAACTGATTAACAGACGAAGATAAACAATTTGGTAAGTATGGTTGTGCGTTATAAAAAGGGCGCTCCAGAAGTGTGTGTACCAGTATGGAGGTAACTAATTTTGTTCGCTTATATTACATCAAGTTGTGTGAAGGGGCTGAAACCTATGGACAAGGGGTATACTCACTTGGCTAACACAGACAGTCCCCGAACTTGTAATAGAACTAAAATAAGAAAAATCGGAATAAAATTATAGCCTAACGTGGTACACACACTACGGGAATACCAAAAAAGTACCACTATATTATAATAGCAAAATACATAATAGGCTTCCTATATTCCGTCAATGTCTTGTTGAATAAGGATTAAATAAACGTTGAAGTGAATGAGTCAATAATCGTCCCCTTTCTGCTATTTTGTGTGTGCCATATTGCTGAATATATTGTAAGTCTTCCACTTCCTCAAATGACGGCATCTAGCTTATTCATTTTGGTTCATTGCGTGTCAAAGTAGTTATTATTATAGTACTGAAAAGGCAGTTAGTTCGTATCGTTGCTAGTATGAAGCATATTATTCAGAGCGGAATTTCCAAATGTGTAGCCTTATGTAGTACAGATATACAAGTAATAAAAGCTACTCATACAATCTGGATTCGTCAAATTTAAATATCCGACAAGGTTTCATCGGACTCATTTGTGGTATTAAATATCTAATAAATATTTGATCTGTTGCACACCTAAGTTTCAGATAACTGCACACACGCATACAATAAATTTCCCACCGCGCTGCCAAGAAGCTCGGCTCTGTGGGTGCATTCCTTATTGAATCGCCAAAATATGAATTATTCATGCTTCATTTAATTTGATTATATAAATGCCGCAGCGTTTATTTAGGATTTATTCAAATCATACAATTCAGATCTAAGGCCTGGGTAATTTTTAGTCGCAAGTGTTGGAAATTCCTTGAAAAACTTGCAAAGTATCCGTGTATTACCTGAACAGCGAAAAAACAAATATTCTCAAACCATCAATGTTACGTCACATGACCGCTCAAACTTCCAAATTTAAATTCCAATTTCCTTTGAGTCCGCTTCTTCGCTCGCATGGAAAAATCGAATGGAAAAGGAAACTTTTGGAAATGGAAACTCTTATGCCACTGTTACCATTGCAAATAAAATTTATCATACTATCGTTGAAGTGAGACAATAGCTTACGCATACTGCGGAAGTTATTGCTGGATCGTTTGTTAGTCTTGGCAGCGGCGAACCTTGCATTGGTTGCTTAATAATATACTCCATCGGGCTTGCCCAGACTCAAATACTGTATGCATATATTGTATTTTGCACGTTTACAATACTGTATTATTTTTGTTTTAAAACACATAACAGGTACTACATGAGACTGGTTTAAGGCAATTTTTCGGTCGATTTTTTACTGTTATTCCTTGATTACTTATGGACTGGCTAGCATGTGGATTTTGTTGTAACTTTGTGTCGGTATTGAAAGTGATGAGGAAAATTTTTCGAAACCAATCCAAAACTTCACCTGCTGATGTAGAAAATAATTGGTCATTCCAAGCGAGGAATATGCTGACCTTTCAGAATGTAGGGACTCCAATGCTCGCGAGTAGCTTTGTTCAGTTCAAAGGTGTAAAACACATCAACAAACCGTGTCACCGTGTAGTATTCATGTGCGGATGCGCCGAAATTAACGTAGTAGATAGTTTATACAGAGAAAGATTTATATATAAGACATGATTGATACAGGTCTGCCTATATAAGTACATGTTTGTTATATATAAAAAAAAAATGGCGCTCCCGTAGAATGTGAACCAATATGGCGGACACCGGAACGTAGATGTGTACCAGGTTAGGGTTGGGCCATAATTTTATTCCAATCTTCTCTATTTTAGTTCTATTACGAGTTTGGGGACTAGCCAAGGGACTCTCGTAGTATTTTTACCTGAAATTATGGCCTAACTTGGTACACATGTATATTACTTTGCGGTGTCCGCCATCCTGGTTCACATACTACGGGAGTACCGAAAAAAAACTTTCATCAAGTAACTCTACAGATTTCATAAATATATGTAATAAAAGGTCAATTAACGACAGATCCAACAAGTGTTACCAGGAAATCGGGGACAGCTGACAATGGATGAAAGGACAATCCCAGGTGAGCGAAACTTTGACTCATTGTATGATATTTGAATGCGTTCCGAATATATTTGAAAAAAAAGTTCAGGTTTCTAACCACATTGTTTTCGAATCGTACACATTTCAAAATCTAAGAACTTGATACACGTTTGTATTTTAGGGGACGTGCCGCCTGCCAGACAGAATTATTCTAATAAAGAACGCTCCAAATGGCGCGTAGATTCCGGGTGAGTCATTCATTAGTGGTATATTTGACTACAAAACGTAGGAATGAGGAAGCAATCCCATACCACCACGTATCGTGGTCATTTTCATTCATAAAATGAAGTAGATATTTCGTGTTGGATAAACATGACATACATCGTATTTATTGTAGCCAATGTATTTCGGACACTGTGGATGCAGGATTTGACGCCAATGAAGACGATGACATCTACGACATGCGTCAAAAGGAAATGGGAATTTTTCTTGTATTCAGTCACGAGGTAGGGTTTTCCAAATGTTATTGGCAAACGTAGATTTCGCTGACGTATAAAATTTGGTAGACTTTCGGCTGGGGTATTCGATCTAAATGCGAACAGTTTTGCAGGAAACCACTGTCCTACCATATTTCCAATTGGCGTTAAGTATTGCTTTCTAACAAATTTACGGGCAAATATACCGCAGATACTACAACCTATTGTCTACCTACTAATTTTATTGGGCGCTCCAGAAGTGTGAGTACCAATATTCGGTAATAATTTTGTTTGCCTACTTTACATCAAGTTGCATAAAAGGACTGAACCTATGATCAGGGAATATGTATATTCACTCGGCTAACACACACAGTCACCGAACTCGTAATAAAACTAGAATAAGGAAAATCCGAATAAAATTATGACTTAACCCTAACACGCACTACGAAAGTACCCTTTACTGTCCACCTGTTTAAATATACTCTTCGACGTGTAACGGTGCACAAAGGTTCACGCTTCCTTCAAATTCTTCTATTCATTTGCTGATTTTAGGTGAATTCAAGCTAGTGTCCGTGATACATCTGGTGATTTTGAATAGTTTTGGGATAGTTTGAAAAGCCCAACAATCTATTAAATTTTTGTTTTCAGGTAATCCATATTGGTACATTAATTAATAATGTTTAGGTATTTGACCCCGACTTAGCACTTTCTAAACGCGAAGGAACAGTTACTGACGAAAAAGGTTTGGAAGAGGTATTCGGAGAAATTGGATTTGAGGTTATAATAAAGAGAAACCTCAAGAAAAAAGAAATTGAAAAAAACATTGATGAATGTTAGTATCCATTGATGTATATTTTTTTGTTCGTCGAACGCATGGGTATATCATTCTTTACCTAAATTTGGCGATTATGTGAGCACTGGGACCGAACATATCAAGACGGATATTGGTCGTAAACTCCTTCTTAAGCCATAGTTAAAGTTACAGGTGAAAATGAAATAAAATCTTGCATATGCCAGGTTTTGCAAAAATTATGTTAAACCAAGGATTGTGTATAAGTCAATAATCTGAGCATTTAAATACTTTTTTCTTTTGCGAACTCAACACAAAATCGCTTATGGAAAGTTACTCATTGATAAAAATATTAACATATTGGTAATTGTTTTCAGATGTGAAATATGATCACTCACGAAATGGAAGTTTTGCGTGTGCGGTTTTGTCACACGGTAAAGAAGAAGGAATCGTCTACGCTTATGATTATGCATATAACGTGAAATCACTATATGAACCATTTCGAGATTGCACGTCATTAATTGGAAAACCAAAGCTTTTCTTTGTACAGGTATGTGGGCTACATGTAAAATTGCTTTGTTTTGTTATTTGTTTGATATTACGTCAGTCATCAAAACTGAGGCATGGAAAAATGGTTGAGGCATGAAAAAAAATGACGAAGTCAAGGTCAACGGTTAAAAACTTTAGTAACACCTATGCTAACAAATTATAAATCTGTCTCTGGTGAGTATTACATACTACATATTTTGTAGAACCTAACATAAACAATATCTGATGTATAGAATTGTTTTGAAATTCATAAACTATGAGTTTTTTTTTATTTTTCTGGCAACGACTGAACACCCAAAACGTTGATAAAACAATTAAGCCTATAGTTCTATAATAAAGTCACTGATGTAAATCTTTCAATCCTTATCAAATTTACGGTTCGCTCATTTTTCAAAAGCTATAGTTATGTTGCAGGCATGTCGAGGTACAAAACTTCAAGACGGCAACAGAAAAGATGCTACAGACGCTGGTCCCGACGGCGGAATGACAATTCCACGGGAAGCTGATTTTTTGATCGCATATTCCACGATAGAAGGTGAAGAATTCAGACAAAAAAATCACAACAAATATATATACATCTTTTACTTACGTATACGTTTACTTCGTATATTCAACTAACATTGCTCACAGACAAATTCACATTTCAGGTTACTATTCATGGAGGAACCCGATGATTGGTTCATGGTTCATTCAAAGCTTGATTAAGTGCGTGAAACATTATTCACACAAATGGGATTTGATGAAAGTATGTTAGCGATTGAATTTGTTTAAGTTGTTTATGGTAATCAATTTTTGATATTTTCTATAAAGCGCACTTTTTGATCAGAAACATAAATAAATATCAAAATAAAATCGGTGACTTATCCAGCTAAAACTCAACTATACTGTGGCCCGGTTGTAAAATATTGGGATAGTGACGTGGTTAGTTCATTATTCAACAAAACACTTCCTCATTCAAGGGACTCATAAACTGATGATATATTTACAGGCTAATGAGGGGCAATAATCATATACCTATGGGGCAATAAAGTTTAAATTTTGATCTTGTTTGCAATCGAAGAATGAACTCAATATGTAGTGACATTTTTAGATCCTCACTCGCGTAAACAAAGAAGTGTGTTGCAAAGAATCCAATCCTGACCTATACGAAATGAAAGGCAAAAAGCAATGTCCTTCGATTGTTTGTCAACTGACTGCCCAACTCTATTTCAAGGCCAAGAACGACGATGCTACCGACGCTAAAATTCCAGTGCAGGTTTGCATTAGTTTGACGGTAATACTAAGAATTAAACGAATTTTGTAAGTGCACACTCAAGTTTTTTCAAGAAGTTGGGAAGTGCTGTGGAATTCACTGCCTCATTTGATTATATTAACATCAGTAGTTAGCATTTCGGCGTTTGTCACTGATTTTGCTCGGAGACAATTTTTTACCTCTGAGATAATAATCTTTCCACAAGGTGACTCGAACAAACATTGAACTTGGCCAACATATTTTGCAATTATTATATTAATGTCTATTAGTTGAAGATTTGGCCTCAACACTAATAATAATACACACAATAGCAAGCGTTTAGCAAAACAAATGATTAAAGGCCAAAACAAATATTACAGGAGTCCCGCGCCTCCACACTCCGATTCGTGTTATAATCTACCTAAAACATATTCTACCCAAATACTCGTTTTAGGCTTCAGAGGTTAGGCCACGAATCAGATCAGCAGCTAGTTCCGGACTGAATATGAAGGTTCACGTTACAGATGATAATGTTTTTTCGGAAATGGAGTATTACCGATTAAAGCTGGAATCTCTCGAAATTAAGGAAAGGCTCATAGCAATGAAGAAAAATTTGTTCCAGGAAAAAATACAGAAAGCTAGTTACGATTGAACTGGTCTCAACTGTTAAAATGTAAAAAAGAGCTCCATGTGCTACCTGCTACATCAAACTTGATTAAGAATATATGCAGTTGTATGAAGTAAACTAATTAATCATAGCTTTTCTATCAACAACAAATCAAGCTGATAATTATTCACAAAGAATATATTTTATTTCTCTCACCTCCATTTTCTCCCCAATCTAAAATTATTCGGAAAATTTCCATGGTTATACCAAAATGAAAAAATAGTAGAAGTTCCAGTGGCTGTTTAACGAGAGCATTATTCGATTAGAGGGTGTGAAACGTGTTTTTAAATATTTTTCTGAAGGTTCGCATTTTAATTGGTAAACTTACATAAAACAGTAATCAAGGGTAATATGCCAAGGTATTTTTCTGTTCGATCTTTCCTGGTCTTTTGCTAAAGAAAAAAACATTTTGAAACAGACAACCCAGAAAGTCAGTGAATGATTTCACGCTATGTGTTAATCCATTTGAAAGTTTCTTCCCTGCTATATTTTATTTAATGCGGTATCCACTTTGTAAGGATCTGTGTCATTTTCAAGTTCCATTCTCTAGAGCATAGGTTCTCAAAGTGCTCCGTACGGAGCCCCAGGGCTCCGCGAGAGAAACCCAGGGGCTATGCGAACTATTCGATTACTTTTCAGAATACTGACTTGGCTAATTTTGTAACTGTTCAAAGAATCAATGACAGCTTTGATAAAATTTGACAACAATATAGCCTCGAAATATGGCAAAGTGGCGGAATTAAAATGACATTATTTATAAGCAGGAGCGCAGCCAGGATTTTTAAGAGGGAGGAGATTCACAATTGGAATCGGAAATTTCCGCGCAACATTCTTTGCGATTAAAAAAAAACGGATAACGAGATTTCTGTTGCGTAAAATATTCAATTCATGACCGATGCGACCATTTAAATTGTCTTGTCGCAATAATTTAATTGTGCTCATCGTTACTCACGTTCGAGACTACTATTAGGATTACTGAAATGAAAAAATACTATTGTAAATAAACATAAACTGCGTGATAAACTGCCAACTATAAATAAATTGGAGTCTTATTTTTGCGATCTAGGGATTTGTTAAATTTGATTTGTTCTTTCGCACTCGAGATTATTTTTGAGCAAGATATCGCCGTTTGAAAAATCACAAGGTCTTGGCAAAATTTATTTTGGTGCATGCGGCTCCGTCGGTAGTTTCAGAATGGAAAAATGGTACATCGTTCGCATAATTAATTGACTGTGTTTCAATTTCGCAGTCACTACGATGAATAACCGAAGAAAACCTAACATAACACCAAATTTTGTGATTTACAATGTCTATAAAAGCGTTTTTATTCTGATGTGAGTCTGCTGAAACAAAACTTATAGTGTTATCTTTCATTTTAAGTTTTAGTTCTAATATTTTAGAACGCCGCTTTTCAATCAAGAAATTTGAATTGCGGACCTCTTTACTAACTATTATTTTGTAGTATTTCGTCGCCGATGATTATATTATGGTAACATGTTTTTCACATTGAACTCATAATTCCCCACAAGAACGAAAAAGCATTTATCGTCGTCATTGTGGAACAATACATGTATATGCCGAGGGAAATTTTTGATTTAGGGAGAATAAACACCGGCGTAAAGATGTTTGAGGTTTAAAAACACGCCATGCTGACGAAAACAATCGGCGAATGTAACAAAATGCAATCGCGCACGTTATTAGAGGCCTTTTAAGTCTTCCAAAAATGTCAAGAGGAGAAAAGATTCGACCCCTAATTTACAGCCTTAATATATACAATTTATCTTTGAAATTTAGATTTATTTATTACTTGTAATAACCCCATTGAAAGGGTTTAGTATTTAAATTGAGTAAAGTACGTTTAACTTACTCAGGAATATTAATCGGAAAGTAACAATTTTACCGTTTATTTTGGGGCTCCGTGAATGATAGTCAACCTTTCCAAAGGCTCCTCAGCACCAAAAGTTTGAGAACCCCTGCCCTAGAGCACGTTAACCCGAATTGTTTGAGGCACGTACCCCTAATTGTGAATCTTAGTTTTGAGCCACCCCCATCCTATGCCGTATCAATTCATGACCAACAAACAAGAATAACCAACAAAGATGGATAATGTTTCATTTACAACACAAACAACATTGCAATGGTCGAGGTTCCCGGAGTACATAATTACAAGCAAACTCGTAGAGTCGATTCTACGGCTAATTTCAACCTGTATTTTGTCATCTTATTGGTAAGAGCTGGAAATGTTGCCTCGCACAGGTAGGTCGTTGAATCAGGCAATAATGTTCTAATGGGCTTTTCTGACAGCGATGGATATTCATCCGCAATACTCAACCAAAAAGACTCTTCATGATTGAATCAATCATTAAAGATCAATCAGACTTTTTTCAGGTCGTTGCGGACCCCCTGTGCAGTCATCACGGTCCCACAGTTTAATAAACCCTGGCCTAGCGTGTGTTATGATTTCTGGATTTTGCATTTATAATGTACATGATAGCTTTAATATGTGTGTTTCACATCTCTTCGGTTTTTGCAGACGTACGTACGGTTTTGCGATTAAGTGGACGCTTATCAAACGATCACCTACCCAAAGTCACGCACTAGATGGCGACAGCACAATTACGCAAGTGAAGAACTTTATTACGCAGCAAAACGTACGTACGGATTGATCGGGTAAAATAGAAGGCAGTGAAAAAAGTCAAACCCTAGCAACAGTCAGATATGTCCAGTAAGTATATAATCCAGTTTGGTCGCAAGGTGAATTAAATTGTTAAATGATGAAATAGTTGCCTCCGTGTCACATGTTCGATGTCACTTATCAATGGTATTATACTCCAAAGTTACAAGATTGTTGTAAACATAAATTGTCATATTGGGTTTTGCCACGTGATCGTATTTTTATGGGAGCTCCCGGAGTGTGTGCACCAAGATGGCGCACAACCTGAATATAGTATGTGTACCAGGTTAGGGTTCAGGTCGTGCGTCATCTTGGTACATATACTTCAATAGCGCCTTTTTATGTTATTAGTAATCTTCAAGTTAATAGAAATCAAATATGACATATCACGGAATGAAATTAAGTACAAAATGAATACAATGTTACGATTTGAACATAGATCGCTGGGCCGTTGACCCACAGTCCATATGGGTGGTGTTGTACAAATATTGACCACGGCAGGGGCAAAACGTAGTTCTATTCTCAATACCTAGTTCGAAACTATAGTTTCATCATTTTTATGGATGCGGAACAAGTAAGCACAAAACACTCTTACTCTTACTTACTTACTTCAGCAGGAGTCCATTCTCAGCAGGAATCGCGTAGCTTTAAGTGAACGAGTTTGATTGGATGGGTGAAGAGCAGTTTCAAGTGATATAGGCCTACGGGTATAACTGAATTGGTGTGTAGTGAAAATCTCAGCGCATGCGATATTCTTTAAAATAAAACCGAGTTGTTTTTATCGGTGGTCACAAATATTATACGCCAAGTGATTTGGAATCATATTAACATCGTGTCCGGAATATGCTTGATATATATGTAAGATTTGCCGAACTAATTCGTGGTTGATATTTGTCAAGCCAAGTAAACAATATGTGAACGACCCATATTGTTTTCTTACAAATTCGAATATTCCTTCTTGCCCGTTACATGCATAAATATAAACATAATTGCATTTGAACAATTTGTGTCCATACTCTTTTAAAACAATCGAGGGTTAGGGAATTTCAACCAAATTGAAGTTGCTAGAGAACATTCCGAATTTTACAAAATTTAAACTTGAAGTGCATTTTTCAAACAATAATCTCTACTAATCTATACACCCTAACAGCTAACGAGTAACTACTCTTACTTGGCACTTGCTTTTAAAACATTTCTCCCTTTTGGGCCACAACTCATTGGGCAACAAATTCTTATTAACATCCAAGAGCTATTGCGTGACCGACATACTGTAGTTTAAAAAGGAATTGATTCATTCTAATTTGAGGTGTTCCTGTTTGTTTCATTGAGTATAAATTGCAAAATGAGCAAAACACAAAAGGTGTATTTGTATGATATATCCATGATAAATTTTGTTACGAGTTTTGGCAGTCTTTAACTTCCGCAATAAGAAGCTATAACATTCTTTCAATCTATTCCTGGCCATAAGTTACTGAGAGAAAAACGATCAAAATTATTCTAATATTGTGTTACGTAGCACAGTTGGATCGAAAGAGCCTTGCATTGGCGTTGTATTACGCAACTGATTAACATACGAACATCAACAATTTTGTAAGTATTGTAGTGTGAGATAAAAAAAAGTACCGCTATCCTATAATAGCCTTATATATTCTGCCAATGTCTTGCTGAATTAGGATTAGATCACTGTTGAAGTGAATGAGTCAATAATAATCGCCGTATTTCTACTATTTTGTGCGTGTCATATTGCTAAATATATTGGAAGACTTCCATTTCCTCAAATGACAGTATCTGGCTTATTCATTTTGGTTCATTGCGTGTTACAGTAGTTATTATTATAGTACTGAAAATGCAGTTGCTTCGTTTGGTTGCTAGTATGAAGCATATTATTCAAAGCGGAATTGCCCAAAATGTGTAGCCTTATGTAGTACAGATATACAAGTAATAAAAACTACTCATACAATCTGGATTCGTAAAATTTAAATATCCGACAAGGTCTCATCGGACTCATCTATGGTATTAAATATATAATAAATAGTTGATCTGTTGCACGTAAAAATCGCATTTCTCTTCGATTACTGGATCAATTGCTTCGGAATTTTCAGTGAATAAATATTAAATTTTTCTCTCAAAGGCTATTACTTTTATTTATTCCTAATATTCCGGTGAGCTGCATGGCATTCGTTTATTTGTGTGCTAGACGTCATTAAAATTTGCCACTATGTGGCGCTACGTGTCCACATATTTGAGTATAGCTCTCTTGTATTTAAGACATGATTGTTATTGTTATATAACAAAACTTATAATACTTTCATCTAGTACCTATACAGATTTCATAATTAAATGTAGTATAAGGTAAATTTACAACTGACAACTGACAATGGATGAAAGGACAATCCCAGGTGAGCGAAACTTTGACTCATTGTATGATATTTGAATGCGTTCCGAATATAATGACAAAAAATGTTTAAGTTCTTAACCACATTGTTTTCGAATCGTATACACTTAAAAATCTAAGAACTTGATACACGTTTGTATTTCAGGAGACGTGCCGCCTGCCCGACAGAATTATTCTAATAAAGAACGCTCCAAATGGCGCGTAGAGGCCGGGTGAGTCATTCATTAGTGGTATATTTGACTACAAAACGTAGGAATGAGGAAGCAATCCCATACCACCTATTGTGGTCATTTTCTGAAGGGAGCAAATGATTACATTCGTCTCATAAAATCTTTGTGATCTTTATATTCTCGTAAAACTTGAATGCGATGTGTGGTTTTAGACGGTTCTGAAGCACAGATTCAACATTCATACAATCAAGTAGATATTTCGTGTTGGATAAACATGACATACATCGTATTTATTGTAGCCAATGTATTTCGGACACTGTGGATGCAGGATTTGACGTCAATGAAGACGATGACATCTACGACATGCGTCAAAAGGAAATGAGAATTTTTCTTGTATTCAGTCACGAGGTAGGGTTTTCCAAATGTTATTGGCAAACGTAGATTTCGCTAACGTATAAAATTTGGTAGACTTTCGGCTGGGGTATTCGATCTAAATGCGAATAGTTTTGCAGGAAACCACTGTCCTACCATCTTTCCAATCGGCGTTAGGTATTGCTTTCTAACAAATTTACGGGCAAGTAAGATACTACAACCTATCGTCTACCTACTAATTTTATTGGGCGCTCCAGAAGTGTAAGTACCAATATTTTGAAATAATTTTGTTTGCCTACTTCACATCAAGTAGCGTAAAAGGACTGAACCTATGAACAGGGGGTAGGCTATGTATATTATTCACTCAGCTAACACACACAGTCAACAAACTCGTAATAGAACTAGAATAAGGAAAATCGGAATAAAATTATGACCTAACCCTAACCTGGTACACACACTACGAGAGTACCCTTTATTGTCCAACTGTTTAAATATACTATTCGACGTGTAACGGTGCACAAAGCTTCACGCTTTCTTCATATTCTTCTATTCATTTGCTGATTTTACGTAAATTCAAGCTAGTGTCCGTGATACATCTGGTGATTTCGAATAGTCGGGCATAGTTTAAAAAGTCCAACTATCTATTCAATTTATGTTCCAAGGTAATTCATATTGCTACATTAATGTTTAGGTATTTGACTCCGACTTAGGACTTCCTAAACGCGAAGGAACAGTTACTGACGAAGAAGGTTTAGAAAAGGTCTTCGGGCAAATTGGATTTAAGGTTATAATAAAGAAAAATCTTCATAGAGAAGAAATTACGAAAACCATTGATGAATGTAAGTATCCAACGATTTATCTTTTTTGTTCGTTAAACGCATGGGTATAGATAGCATTCTTTGCCTGAATTTGGCAATTTTGCGAGCACCGGGAACGAACATATTTTTACGGATATCATAAATAAATTCATTCTTACGTCGGAGTGAACGTTAGAGAAAAATTAAAAACAGGTAAAAATTTGAAAAAAAACTTGCATATGCCAAAGTTTTTGTATTTGAAATTGTGTTAAACCAAGTATTCTGTATAAGTCAATAAATTATGCATTTAAATACATTTTTCTTTTCCAGGCGCTCAGCACAAAATACCATTTGGGAAGTTTTTACTTATTGATGAAAATAACGACATATTGGCTACTGTTTTCAGATGTGAAGTATGATCACTCACGTAATGGAAGTTTTGCGTGTGCGGTTTTGTCACACGGTAAAAAAGAAGGATTCGTCTACGCTTATGATTATGCATATACCGTTAAATCACTCTATGAACCATTTCGAGATTGCATGTCATTAGTTGGAAAACCAAAGCTTTTCTTTGTACAGGTATGTATATGTAAAATAGCTTTGTTTTGTTATTCGTTTGGTATTACGTCAGTTATCAAAACTGAGGCCTGGGAAAATGGTTTAAAACCTGACGACGTCCAGGACTACGGTTAAAAATTTAGTAACATTTATGCTAAACAAACTATAACTCTGTTTCTGGTGAGTGTTATACTACATATTTTGTAGAAACAGATGAATAAAATATTTGAAATATAGAATTGTTTTGAAATTTATAAACTATGAGTTTTTTTATTTTTCTAACAATGAACGAACACCTAAAACGTTGATGAATTAATTAGGTCTATAGCTTTTCAATAAAGTCACTGTTGCAAATCTTTCAATCAAATTTACGGTTCGCTCATTTTTTAAAAACTATAGCCATGTTGCAGGCATGTCGGGGTACAAAACTTCAAGACGGCAATAGAAAAGATACCGCAGACACTGGGCCTGACGGCGTAATGACAATTCCACGGGAAGCTGATTTTTTGATCGCATATTCCACGATAGAAGGTGAAGAATTCAGACAAAAAAAATAATAAGTCACAACAAATATATATACATCTTTTACTTTGATGTATACGTTTACTTCGTATATTTAACTAACATTGCTCACATACAAATTCACATTTCAGGTTACTATTCATGGAGGAACCCAATGACTGGTTCATGGTTTATTCAAAGCTTGATTAAGTGCGTGGAAAATTTTTCACACAAATGGGATTTGTTGAAAGTATGTTAGCGATTGAATTTGTTTAAGTTGTTCATGGTAATCAATTTTTGATATTTTCTAAATCACTCTTTTTGATCAGAAACATAAATAAATATCAAAATAAAATCGGTGACCTATCCAGCTAAAACTCAACTACTGTGGCCCGGTTGTGAAATATTGGGATGGTGACGTGGTTTCAATCAAAGAATGAACTCAATACGTATAGTAACATTTTTAGATCCTCACTCGCGTAAACAAAGAAGTGTGTTGCAAAGAATCCAATCCTGACCTATACGAAATGAAAGGCAAAAAGCAATGTCCTTCGATTGTTTGTCAACTGACTGCCCAACTCTATTTCAAGGCAAAGAACGATGATGTTACCGACGCTAAAATTCCAGTGCAGGTTTGCATTAGTTTTGCGGTAATACTAAAAATAAAACGAATTTGTAAGTGCACACTCGAGTTTTTTCAAGAAGTTCGTTGGGAAGTGCTGTGGAATTCACTGCCTCAATTGATTATATTAACATAAGTTGTTAGCATTTCAGCGTTTGTTTGTGATTTTGCTCGGAGACAATTTTTTACCTCTGAGATAATAATCTTTCCACAAGATAACTCGAACAAACATTGAACTTGGCCAGCATATTTTGCAATTATTATATTGATGTCTATTAGTTGAAGATTTGGCCTCAACACCAATAATAATACACACAATAGCAAGCATTTAGCAAAACGAATGATTAAAGTTTCATGTTCGGTTTCTATCGCCAAAACAAATATTACAGGAGTCCCGCGCCTTCACACTCCGATTCGTATTGTAATCTACCTAAAATATATTCTACCCAAATACTCGTTTCAGGCTTCAGAGATTCCATCATCAATTAGATCAGCAGCTAGTTCCGGACTGACCATGAAGGTTCAAGTTACAGATGATAATGTTTTTTCGGAAATGGTGTATTACCGATTAAAGCTGGAATCTCTCGAAATTAAGGAAAAGCTCATAGCAATGAAGAGAAATCTCTTCCAAGAAAAAATACAGAAAGCTAGTTACGAATAAAGAGCTTCATATTCTTCCATGCTACATCAAACTTGATTAAGATTATATGCAGTTGTGCTGCCTTAAAAACTCATCATTCTCTTTGATCCATCTATCTAAATCAGGGATGTCAAAATCGCGACCCCATGGAACTCCTACTGCGGCCCTCAAAAACTTAACAACTATTGTTATCTTTTGTAAGGTTTTTTATTGGAACGTAATACATTTTTCAAACTTTCAAAGTGAAATTGATTATTCACACAAAAACAAACTATTTACAGAAGGTAGTTTTGAAAAAATTACAAATTTTTTTGTTCCTATCTTGACCCAATTGTGGATACATCTCAAGCTAGCAAAATAAAACTTGAAAACAACAACTCAGTGATTGAGAAGAAGCGCAAAGTACATGAAGAAGGTCGCATTTCTTACAATTCTAAAGCACACTGCTTAATTTGTCACATTTCCATCAATGCAATGAAGGAATACAATACAAGTAGACATTATCAGAATATTCACAGCAGTCAATGTGACAAATTTAAAGATCAACTTCGAACCATGAAACTGTTGCAGTTGAAAGCACAGCTAAATCAGCGGCAAACCTGCTTCAAAAAAATCTGTAAAAGTAACGTTGCCACCGTTACAGTCAACTATAAGCTTAGTCAGATGATTGCAGTCTCTGGAAAGTCTTATACTGATGGAGCTTTCATAAAAAATTGAAACATTGAATATTTAACAGAACTTATTATGACAGAAGTCATTTAACATGTTTATGTACAAAATGTTTGCATATCCATCACAGCATGAAGTCCTCAATCTACACCAGGGGTCTTCAACACGCGGCCCGCGAGGCACTTTTTTTTGGGCCCGCGTCGTGGTTAATTCTTTTCACAAAGATCAATAGTAACATGTCAACTAACAGTAAGTGTTAACGTGTCGTTTAACATCAAAAGTCCGGACCGACAAACTGTAAAACGTATGACAAAAAAATCCCCCCTGTTATTCCACTTTACTACGTTCATAATTTATTCCATTGTAAAGATTAAATTGTAAATTCAATAACTTCTTTTCGCATTTTCTTGTAACGAAATAAACGAGTTTTGGTCAGATCATTGTGGCCGAAGAAAGGTTTGCAAAGCTAATTGCACACTCAGTCGCATACCTTCGGTGTTTGGCAGTACTTATATTCGTGAGTTTTTTTCAACTATGAAAGTCAGCACCTCGCACACGACTAACGGAGGAGCAATTGCATGCTGTCTAATTAAGACTAGCAAACCAACGCAAAATAGAGCCAAACGTCGAGTCTCTCACCGCTACAAAACGGTGCCAAATGTCCTGCAAGTAAATGTATATGTTTCATGTCTCGTTTGGTGTAAGATTCAAGTGTAATTTCAACAAATACATTCAGATTTCCTTTGTTATCAATTTTGTACCTAATTTCTTGGTTTGCGGCCTGCGTCGTCTATAAAGTTAAAAAAGTGGCCCATGACATATTTGAGTTGGAGACCCCTGATCTACACTGTCTATGTTTGCGCGATACTATAAGTGAGATCTGTCATCATTCAACATTCTTAATCTTATATATATAGTAACTAGACCTCACGTTAATGTACTAGCTCGGAGTAGATCTTGCCTGATAAAGGGGGAGACCCAAGGCCGTATTTAAACGATAAGAGGCCCTTAGTCTATTTCATTATAAGGCCCTTTTCAACAATGATGCCACAACCCTCTGTGAATCAATTACGACTTCATAATAGTCGTAAAAATTGTTATGTAAAATACAATTTCATTTTTAATAATTTAACCGTTTTAATACAGAGACTATTACTATGTCATATAATGTGGCTCTATAACGAGATTACGAGTTCTGAATTGACAATTGACTTCTACGCTGTAAGAGGAAATCCAGGTTGATTTTACGTAAATTGTAAATATTACCTAAGTTGTTAAAGAAGAAACAAAGGAAGCAAAAAAATAGTCGATGGATCACGTACCTCATTGTTGTATCACTACCATAAACTCGAAATTAATAAAAGTAGTAGCCTTCTAGCTTAATTCTTAAACCACTGAAAATATCGAAGCAATTAATTGAGTAGTTAATGAGAAAAGCGTCTAATTACAAAACGATCTATTGGTCCATTTCGTGTAAAAAATTACATTCGGTGCGAAACACGTGATTAACTTATATTTGCTGTGTTTTATGTTATTGTTTCGTTATCATCATTTTCTTCATTATTTTTACGTCATTATTGTTCGCTCGCATGTTGGCATTACGTTTTATTCTGTGATAAGTAACCGTGGTGTTGAACGCTCTGTCTGTAGCCAAGAGGTCATCACGCGAGACAATTTCAAGAGTCGTGATCAACAGATTTTGGGTTTATCTGTCATTGTGACACAGCTGGATGCACGCTCTGCTGTGAAAATGTCGTTTGCCATACCTCGAGTACGAAATTTTAAAACATGACAAAAATAATTATAATCCCCATTTCTAAATCATGGAATTAACCATGGAAATAATAAGCTTGAAATATGGTATATTCAAAGACGATTCTCAGAAGAATGAAGCTCTAATAAATGGAGTTTCTCGTGACAAAAAGGAGCAGATATTGTTCTGACGATGATGTGCTGGCTAAGACCTATGTGTAGCTCTACGAATGGAGCAGACATAGCCTACTTGCAAAATTCAAAAATCACTTTTAAAAAGGACAAATTGATATTAAGAGAATATTTGCTGTTACGACAGACGGTGCCATTGCCGGAGCCCGTGGGTTTGTTGCATTTATTCCCAAGGAGATTGGCCATCCAGTCATGAAGTTTAGGATAGGATTTACATATTTATCCCGGGGGATAGGAAAGCCGAATAAGACGCCTACTAATCATATGGTGAACCTCTCGTCTGGTTACCAGTTCATATCGGGTATGAGAGTTATTTGTTTCCGATGCATGGACTTGATGGCGGATGGAGCAAGCTGACTCGAGGACTTGTTATTGTATAGCTGATTTACTTGGGGACTTGTTATTGTGAACAAGCAAGTTTGCTGAATGGCGTCGGGCTATCGAAATTGTATATTATAAGAATAGTTCAAAGTTGCTGACATCATTGCCGGACACGTTTGGTGATCTTAAAGACGTAGCAAAAGCCTTGCCTTCGGTATTCGGATCAACGAACGGTACTTGTGCAAACAAATTTTTTCGCGCACGAAGTTTGTCTTGAGCCCTAATGAGCATATATTGTGAGCCTTCATCGCCGTCATCTTACTTCTGATAATTTCAAAGCCTGCGTTCAGCTAAAAGTCACAAATTTGAAGCCAAACATCAAATCTCTGAGTGAGAAAAAGCAAGTGACAGTGGTCCCACTGGTAGAGAATGTTAGCCTACTGCAGTGGTTCTTAACATTTGCGAGCCTGCACCCATTGAACCCCATCGTACTGAATGGTTGAAACAAGGATCCCAACCCTAACTTAATGAAGCGGAAGCTAGTTTTGTGAAGGTTATAAGAAATGAACATTAAGGTGTAACCTAAGATACCAATATCCCGTGTGGGAATAGCCATTTTTTGTCACAATAGTGTTGGCGGCAGGGAAAGCAGATGTTTTTGGTATATAAGTTATGCGGGTAATAATGCTAATTTCAAGCAAAGCTCTGCAATTAAGTATTCGTTGTCGCAAATTTATCACCTAATGAAATTCGAACGCGCTCTGATTTTGCTTTCATTTATGCAATCTTCGATGTATCCGTAAAACTGACTATAAATTTTATTAGTACAGTAGATTATGAATAAGGGTCACGCAAATATTCAGCTCAAAAGTCCTTGATCCTTGATCGTAACAACCCAAGATTTTTCAATGCCATTAGCAGAAAGCATCTAAAAGCGGTATCATAGATAAGTATGAACGCCAAAGCGCGCGACATGTGTGGAGATTTGAGTTTTCAATGGAACATACTAGAATCTGAAAACATCGACGGGTCCGCTGAAACTTATATCTGTGGGAAGCTATACATACAGCCAAGCTAATTTATTGGTTGTTGAACGTCTAAGTTTGAATATCTGCGATGAACTGTAGTTATTTTTGCAAAATTAGTAGACGAGGTAATGGAAAGTCCCATAACATAAAAATTGTTCCAGAGGACCATCGTCGAACCCCTGTAACAGCTCCACCAAACCCAGGGGTTCGACCACTGGCCTACTGTGTATTAATTAGGGTTGGGATTTGGGGGCCAGTTTTTGAAATCTCGGTATCGGGATATTCCGGGATTGAGCCGTATAATGCCGGTATTTTTCGGAATTAAGTAAAATATTTGAACAACATGCATGACAATAAAATCGCGCATTTATTTCATGTAATATTACTGTATTACTGTATATACTCATAAACTGTATTTCATTACAACAATTAATTATTATCGCTAAAAGCACGCATTTTACCCGATAGACGTAAATTTACACGTTATGAATTTCGTGCAAGGTCCGAGCATAATTTGATGGCAAAGATCATAGCAGTTACTATGTCGAAATGCAGACAGCAGAAACTACCCGAAAAATATAACCGTTTTTGTGTTCGATATATGAAATAATCGTCAATTCCACCACGCTTCCGTGAAGTAGTGCAATTTACTAAATATGTGAAGGTTTTGTTAAGTTTTATTGCATCAGTGTTTGGACTACCACGCGTTTCGCCAGATTACTGGCGTAATTACAGATCGCAAGGGTGGGCAAAATAGTTATTTTTATCGAATCGAATAATTTTAACGAATTGTCCAATATCAGGATGAACTCGGGATTTTAATCCGATTTTTATCTTTTGGGTCGGCTTTGATCTTTTTTTGTCACCGTTTGTAAATGAACTGTCCCAATTTTAAGCTAAAAATATTATCATTTCTGACGCCGGAATGCGGATATTTATGAACGATAGTTGAACTTCTTGATTTTACTTTTCTATTGTGACTGTTTTATTTTCGTATTAAATAGTGAATAAAAACCCTGCAAAGTCACTACCTGATACCTGAATGCTATTTTGAGTTCAAATTATGATTAAATAAGTCGGCAATAATGACAATTCTACTAGTCAAATTATAATTCCTTGGAAAAATTTGAAAAAAAAATTTGCACAATAATTTCACTTAGTGTGACTGACTCAAACTGTAAGGGTGGATGGCTATTTTCAAAATAAATATTAAATAAAATGGTATAACCCAGTGACCCAGTGGAAGGGCGGTTTTTAAGGAGGTAGACTCCTTGATTCTTTCATTTCCGACCTCTCGTATGATGAAAAAGGGGGTTTCAGCCATGCTACCATTGCTATCAAAACAACGAAATCGCCTTTCCATCAGTAAACGGTGTGATTTTTAGGTTGTGCCTGACGAAAATGTCACCGATAATAAATAAAAAAAACTCGCTGAAGAACACCAAGCTCATCCATCTCAATAAAATACACTATAAACTATGATTTGTCTTCTTATTTGGTCTGTAATATATATATTCGTAGCTGCGGGGCGATGAAGTTGTATAAACTACTGTAGGGGGGCGATGAAATAAAAAAGTTTGGAAAGTACTGGACTATAACCTACTATTTGTGAGAATATCTATATGTTGATAACAAAGTCTTAAAATCCCGGGATTTTCAGGAAACAATTGCGGGATCGGAATTGAAAAAAAAAAATCCAAATCCCGGGATTTTCGAGATCGGGATATTTTATAGGTGCCGCTGCTCGATAACCACCACTGATTTCCTTCGTCCTTTTCATCCTGTAATATGGCCTATTTATAATTCATTGCCATTTGCATGTTTGCGCCTATTTAAACTATGGTTATATATAAACTACTTATTAGTGTTTATAGTGTTCGCAATCAGGCTATTTCTAGCCAATATATACAACACGTATCAGCATTTCAGACCTTTATCTACCCGATTAATCAGGGAATATCCTACGAGTTATCCGGTGGGATGGGATTTTCAAACCTGTACCGTTACATTTTATTCTTAAAACATAACTTCCGAGTATCCAAATTAAAGTAGATGACGAATCTTGGGTGTCGCTGCTCGATAACCAAATTTGGTTCCCCGCGGCTTCCCTTCCCCAGTAAAAATGTGTGTTAAATTTTGTTTATCTTTTGATTTTGTATGTTATTTTTTTGCTGGTTGGAAAAAATAAAATTGACTATGACTATGGATCTCCCGGGGTCCCAACTAACCCTACTGTATATTATATAACTTCAATAATTTGTTAAGATAACTAGATAGTGCAAACTTTATTAAGTCTATTTCTATTGTCGTCCGGTCTGATTACATCACGCAATTTTTATCGGCACGCAAACGAATATTTTGACATTGTATTTTAAAAATTGGCATTCTGGTAAGAAACGTTGTGACCCCTACGCTGAACCATTAGGTGGCGACAATGAGCCGTAATTGACCAAAATAATCCCACAAGCAGACAAGGCCACAATAACCTGGTCTCACTGTTTTCGGGAGGCGCAGTTCTTACCACTTCGAGGCAGCTTCTGCCACGGCGGTACCGCGGCGTCTCTTGCCATGGTTTTATTGCGCTATTATCGGTATATTTACAAAGTCATGTACAATCATTTAGTTTATCACGCGGAATTATATCTACTTAAACCTAAACCTAACCCCAAGTACATCAAAACTGTATTCATAAGAAAAGCGTTCCATCTTGCCCAACGACTAACATACCATCTTGCCCAATATTTATCACCATCAGGGGCAGCCCTGCTATTACAGCCGACACGCAGTGGTTACGGCAGCAAAATTGGTGGCATTCAATTTGCTCATTGAGGTGTATGTATTTTTACACCTTCAGTGGATTTGCTGCTGTAACCACGACAGCTCGCTATTGGTTTGTGGCAGCTAAAAAGTCAGTCGCCGTGGGTTCGGTCATGGTTTGGAAATCCCGCCATGGTTTTGTGGCAGCTCTAGACGCCACAAAATACTTGAAACTGCACTTGGTTTTAGGTATACCGGTATCCATTAACTATTAAAATCTTGAATCTGATGGAAAATAAATCAAGCAGTGATTATGAGTCGGTGCATGGACGATGCCTGGATATGTGCCCAGAATCTGAAATGAAATTCAGAGAAGCAAATAGGTTACTTAGCTTATTTGAAGTTATGGATGGACATGAAAAAATCAGGCATCCAAAAGTAAGTCAAATAGCTTAGCAATGCGGTGATGTAAATTGAGAACTATTGAATAGATCTCATCAGCGCAGCATATAAATAACTGAATTTTGGTGAACTCATGATGCTGTCATGCACGAAAGCCTTTGCCAAAGCAGAATTTTCATGCAAAATCAATTCAATAATTTGCTTTAAATATACAGTCATTTTTGCATACCGTACCTTACGGTACTGTATTACTTCCTCAAATCGAAGGGAATTCTAATCTAAATTTTTTCTGCCAATGACTAATTCAACTTTGTACTTCTGTGGTGCTATTATGAACTATTGACTATCAGACTATGTTTTAGAAAGAGTGCATGATCATTGTTATTCACAGAGTAGCGCTTTATGAATTTTCACAATCGGACAATATTTGCAAATAGACTATCATGCGATTTATACTACATAGATCTTCTCTCTGCATCAAATAGTGTGATCCAACCAAATGTGTCAAAGAGTTTAGAAGATCTGCTGCTGGGGAAAAGTTGAATGATGCATATCAGTTGCGACCTGCAAAAGTTTTGCTTCAAACTGTTGACTATCTTCTTGCAAAAATTGCAACTAGAAGAGATGTTCCATTTGATGTGGTATATGATTTCGTATTTGACAGGTGAGTCTATTTGATAGAATATTAGACTGCTTTAGCTTGTATATTGCTGTAAATTCCCAGGGCATCCTTTTACTGTTTTCGTAGCACGATAATGGTTGTTATCTTTAAAAATACTCAAGTTTGAAGATGGCTCAGTTTGGTGTTATAGTATTTTTGCACTCTATTTTATACAATAAAACTGTTGTCTATTTGTGAAGTAATTATTGTATTGGCAAGATTTGATTTGACATTAATACAGTTAACTTCTAGATAAAATTATATATAAATCACCGAGAATTTGTTAAATCATTGCAAACCTTGGACCTACACTGTAAAGTGGAGAGCTAGACTCATTATGGCTGCAGTATATTCTATGTCGTTGGTGCTTTTTCGCTTTTTCCATAAATTATGTCCAAATGATAATTGACCATTTAATAATTTCTTTACATGTATATGTAGTACCCCAGTATATGTTTCAGGGGTGGTTGTTCATCATATTTGATTGAAACTCAAGATTTCATCTTTCACAGAATAAATAAATAAGTCTGATGTAGTCTTAACTGGTTCGGTATTGAAATTGATTATTGGCAACTTATCTGTTATATGAACAAAATAATCACATTTAGCCACAATTTTCTTTAAATTTTTTCAACAGATTGAGAAGTGTTCGCCAAGATATGGTAATTCAACAAATACACTTGAAAGATCCACATCTTGCAGCTTGTATAATAGAGAAATGCTATCGTTTTTATGCTTTCGCTTTGTTCGTTATAAAGCAGTACAATCTCGTGTCAATAGACAGACATATTCATCGGACACATATGAAGCAATGTTTACAATCATTGGTAGAAATTTATAAATCTTTTCCAGTGGAAAAGACTCTTAACAACTCCTCAGAATTTTTAGCATGTTATGTGATATTCAATTCAGAATCAAATATTTTTGAAGAATTTTTGATGAACTTTTCTAAAGGAATAAGGATGAAAGAACCTTTGCAAACTGCTATTCAATTATACCGTGCTGTGCTTCAAAATAACTTTGTCAGAGTTTTCAAATTGTTTTCGCTTCTTAAAAGCAACGAATATTATTTACCGTTATTATCTTTTATAGAAAATACTCAAAAATATAGGACTAAAGTTGTTTCTGTTCTTTCTCATTCCCATAATTCAAAACAATGTTCATTTCCACCTGAGATTTTATTGAAATGGTTGTTGCTAAGTGATCGTGCAAGTGTATTGCAAATTTGTACAGAGCATGGCATGAATGTAAATGAAAAAAGTCACGTCATTTTTCAAAAATCCAATTTTTCCACTCCACATGAATGTAATGTTCAGGAATCATTTATAGACAGCTTTGAATCTTTGCAAGATATGACTGATAAAGTAATATTGTCTCATAACGAGGAAGTTGTGGGGTCATAGTTGAACGTTTTTCGATGAAGTTTATATTGCAATTGGTCTTGTAATTATCTCATACCTATTTTAGACAATAAATTTTTCTATTTACTTTTATTTTGGTTCTTATTGCCCTTTTTTTTAATGTAAAGTCTTTTTTGATAGGGATAAGGGGCATTCATTTTTCCAAACATGTCATTGCAGATAGATTTTCATATTCATCAATGATAAAAGCTTAAATCTCTTGCTAATAACAGTTCCAACTCAGTGAATCGGGAATTTGAAGAAAGCTACACTCGTGTGCGAAGAATTGATTTCGTTAGCATACTTTTCGCTTTACGAGAAATTCCCCTCACTGCCTAGTCTCATTGCCCAAGAAGGTTATTTATAAATGGCTGATGTGTACGATCGAGCCATTCTTTCGGAAGGGAAGTCTATCGGAAAGTATCATTTTTCTGAGGGTCGAGTTTCGGATCTTCTATGATTGCCACAGGTTGAATACACTATGACGCGGGAGCAACTGTTATTTTCGAACCAGCTCTGGATGGTACAAAGCCAAGCGAAAATTCAGAACGTCTTAAAACTAAATAAGAAAAATATTTCAGTTGATAATTTCTGCGAGTGTAAATGCATTCCAAAATGATACTTATTGCTAGTTACTGAAGATATCGTATAGGCCACCACCAGAAGACGCCGCCGTGTAGCACTACCACAAGTTTTTTCAATTTGGTTGGTTTCGAAGCGGAGGCGAGGCGAGCTAAAAGGCGCTCAAGTTTAACAGAAGTCTGTTTCCCACCAAAAGAAAAACGCGACGCAGTTACTTGATGAGAGTCAAAACAACTTTGCCGCGAGCGAATTTTTTTATGAGAAATGGGAACATGTTGAGATTGTGGTTAAATAACCAAAAGAATTAAGCGGGATTATCAGTAAAATTGATAAAAATACACGAGTGAGTGAATACGAATAAATATTATTCAGCTTCAATGTGCACACGTTACCATATTTGTTAGGTATTCTAAGTAGGTAAAATAAGATTCCAGTTTTTCCATGTCAGATCTCGGTGTTTTTCGCCACTGCCATGTAAACATTTCTGCATGCTATTCAATCATCAACGTTTTCTATTGAATCGAAATTCAAGTAATACCAATACCCATTTGCAAAATTTCCCCTTCCTAGACGATCTTATTTATTATATATAAGATAATATGTATTCAATAATTATATACAATGTTCCCTCTAATTTTTTGTAGTATGTGTGCGCAGAAATTTTGGTGTGTGCGCACTTTTTTGGAAATATTTGTGTAAAAACCAAGGCGTTCTAACCGGGTAATAAGTGGGCCAACAACAAACTTTCTCAACCTGCCAACCGAGAACATTGTTACATTACATCGAAATACGTCTGTGCGCAGTAAATCTATGCGTGTGCGCAGCTTCTGAAAGCTGTGTGCGCGCGCACACGCGCACACCTTAGAGGGAACACTGATTATATATATATAAGATATATGAATTTAAGTCGTGATAGCGAATGAAGCTCCTTCTATTTCTATCACACCACCACATTATAATCTGGAGGTGGCTGCACAGTTTTCAATTTATTTAATTCCATCAAAGTGTAATACTCTGGCGGCTCGTCAGGCACTGCCTGTGACGGTAGGTTGACGCAAGAATCACTAACCTCTGGCCGCCAATCTCCTTGGCGTTGCCAGTTTTCCCGTAGCCTTCTCGTCAATGCAAAAAAACTAAAACCGTCCTCTACAGTATCGTTTTCGTGCGTATTCAAGGGATTGTTATTGTGAATCCTGGAGGTTGATATCCCTGTAATAGGCGGAGCCACGTCACCGGAAGAGTTTCGGTAGTCTTTTTGTTGATGTCTCAAACGTAAGAAAAACATCACAGCAATTAGTAAGGTGATACCCGAGGATGCGATTAGCAAATATCCAGTTAGCCTCATGGATGATTCGAACTTGGCATTTGTACTATGGTCCTTATATTTACTCATTTTGTTTTCTTCCTCTCCCCGGGGATAAAAAGTTATAGTCAATGATATGCCGAATAGAAACAGTAGTAGTCCAATAAATCCCAGAGTTATCCATAGTCGAGTGCACGGTGTTGTTGATGTTGTCAATTGTCCATGGACACAAGTTGCAACTTGTGTTCTTCGCAATCCAGGAAGTGATCTTTCGCATGAAACACTACCTGGTAAACTTGACATTTTCTTATAAAATTTGACTATTCACTATGGTAAATGCTGAAATTCCAATAAAGCGGAGTTTGCTCGTCTCAGCTTTCCACCGTTGCCAAAGTATATTTACTGTATTGTTTTCTGTTCATAAACAAAATTTCTATAAACATGATTTTTTATCTAACTTGCGTTTTGTGGAATTATTTTCCATCGAGCTGATTTTTGTTTTTTAAAGTGACTTGAAGCGCTCCAAGTCTCGTGTCAAACGTTGCAGTATCAATAGGAATAGTTTCAGCCTTTCCAGTAGTGTCTTGCAACTCTCCCTTCAACAATTTATTTGATAACGGTAGATAACGGTTCGCGTATTGCTATAGGCAAGATATTTCACAATTTTGAACAGACTGTCATATAGCTCTGATGTGCTATAACGTATACGATATTATGAATATGAAAAATGCCGTATTGTTACACAGCAAATTTGATGACATGATACTTTTTTGTAAAACTATTACATATATCCGATCGTAAACGAAAACCATAATCACGTATTATGACTCGGTACATTTATCAAGAGATGATATTGAAGGTGTTTCTGAATGTTTCAATGCTATGATTCTGCGATTCAATTCTCATTTTAGAAACTGAGAATTCCAAATACCCCCGGGCACATTTTTGTTATTATGATTTAGTGGCGACAAACAAAGGTGTTTCATTAAAAAGGATATTATTTAGTATTGCATAATATTAATTTATTATTGCAAGTTCAAAAGGTGCCATGTAGTTGATATATATCAACTACTTGATATATATATATATATATATCATAATAAGCACGAAATTTCTGGCAAAGTCATTAGTATTCATACCAAACGGAACATATTACACTATAATTATTTGCTGGGCATTTCTCACTCTCAACAAGCCTCTGGGCAGGCAGTCACTGATTCCTAATAATATGTTACTTTCCTGAAAATATTATTAACGCTTATGCAATGACTAACCGACATCGCTTTTCGCAAAAATCATCGTTATCGTAGCCTTGAGTCGCCCGTCACTCGACGATTTTTTGCAATAATTGTTTTCAAAACAATCGCTATAAATAATGTCAGGAGCTCGAAACATGTAGTTATATCGTCGCTCCTCTTGAGAGAACTATCAAAACTCAATTAAACAGCACGCACTACTAATCTAAATAACACAGAAAAACGACTTTTAACGTTCCAATTGATTTTTGTCATAGTTTAGATTTAAAACAGCAACCTAATGTTCCATACATATTTAATTAACCAAGTCAAAAATAACACCAAACTAGTGGACATTTCCATTTATTTTGTCAAATCGAATACACTCAATGGAATTTCTGCTTTTGCATTTCAGAAACAAGTTTTGAAATACGTGGTCGTGATTTTGATAACGATAGACGTATATCGTCTTCGACGTTTAGTTGGTTACGAGCTATCACAAAGGTAAGTGAAGGCGAATGGAACAATAACACGTAATCTTCTTCGACGTTTAGTTGGTGACGAGCCTTGGATTTAATATGAACGAGAGCAAAAAATCCACTTTCACAAAGGTAAGGGGAGGCGAATGGAACAATAACACGTAATGCTTCCATCGGTACGACGGCAAAATGGCGCACCGAAACGGAGAAAGTGATCACTGTAGCTGCGATAAATCAAAATAGTTTTTGTAGGCTATTGTCATAGGCAGCAAATGTTCGAGCGTATTACAAAAAAACGATATTGGATTGCAAATAATTTCCTAAAATCTTAATTTAATCGCGGACCCCCGGTTGAGAACCACTGATTTAGAACAACATTTGATTACATGGTTTTTCATGTAAGTGGACTCAAAAACAGATTGTCTACCTCAGACTTAATTCTCATCATGCTTAATTGAGGCTGTCAATTTAACGATATTCTGAATATATTTTTGGCAGACATATGTAATCAAATACTTTTATAACTCACGAACTATCGTGTCATAAAATTTGCGTGTCACACCTTTACCGAGTATGAAATGTCGCTTGAAGCCCATCAATAATATTCATTATATTCGACAGAACATCATTTAAATATCATATATCACAACTCTTTTTTTTGCAAATATGAGTTGCAACGTTCATAGAAACTGTTTATTCAAAGTTTTAGACTCTGGTCATCTAATATCCGCGACGACATTTGCGATAACACGACCAGTCTCAAGTGAATTTTGAATATGAAAAAAACGACAATCCTGCCATTTGTCGACAATGAAACAACGCGCGGCGACTCCACCATTCCTTTCTCTCAATCTTAGGACAAAACAGATATAGTTAAGCTATTAATTTGGCGCTCCAGAAGTGTATGTACCAATATGGAGGTAACTAATTTTGTTCGCCTACTTCACATCAACTTGTGTAAAGATACTGAAACCTATGGGCAAGGGGTATATTCAGTGTATTCACTTGGCTAACACAGACAATCCCCGAACTCGCAATAAAACTCAAACATTCTTAGTTTAACCGGAAAGCCGTCTATACCCAGTTTACCCACCAGATAAAATAATTTTATTCCTGAAATTTCAATATCAAATAGCAATTCTACACTATAGCTTTTTCAAGTTTCCGGATATGTAGAGACTAGGCTTGCACGTAATTGACAAAAATCAATTCCGTAATTACGGCAAAATCAATTACGTAATGACCCCGTAATTGCGATATTTTTCCACGCATTTAAACCTATCGTAACATCCCATTGAATCCACTTTTTTTCCGAATGGGACATTGAAGTTGGGTTTTCCTATTCTTGGCAGTAATACACGCCGGCGGCAGATGTTAAAGACAACTATCAAGGAGTGAATTCAAATTAATTTTATTCTGATTTTTATCTTTTGTGTTAGCTTTGGTTTTTCTTTATCACCTTCGCAAATTAACCGTCCCATTTTTATGCGATCA